GGGGGCGGAGGAGGCGCGCGCCCAGGCAGACGCTTTGGAAGCGCGGGTCCGCGCGTGGCGCCCCAGCGGATTTGCTTGGGGGAGGGGCGCGGAATGGGGAAAACGGAGGTGGGGAAAACGGTGCAGAGTGAGTGTGGAATGGTGTCCCAAAGTAGACCTCACGCCGTGACGCCTTTGCCATCCCTTTCCTTTGGTTTTGTTTCTTTCCGGGTATCTTCCGTGTTTCGGGTTTGGACGTGATGATGATGATGATGATGATGATGATGATGATGATGATGATGATGACGATGACGACGACGACGACGACGACGACGACGACGACGAAGACGACGAAGACGACGAAGACGACGAAGACGACGAAGACGACGACGGCGCCGATGACGACGATGACGACGGCTACCAGCGCCGGTTGTTGTGGTTTGGCTGGGGTGATGCTTTTCGTTTGTTTGTGTGCGTGTGTGTGTCTAGGAAGAGCGGTTCTGGGCTCAAATTGTGGCAGTCAAGTCAGCGGGGTTGCCAGGTTGCATGGCCCAGCCAAGCATTTCCGATGCCAAGGCTCTCGTGGACGAGCGCGTGGCTTTGGAGGACCAGAGCGGCGCCGAGCGTCTGGGGGAAACGTGGCTTGCCCGCAGTTATCTTCAGACGAGTTCAAGTTGAGAGAGATTCCGACTCAGTTGGGGCCACAATTTTGTGAATTGGCTCCTTCTTCATGTTGAGGGCCAAGCGGCTATGCAGTCGGAAGTTTGCTGGCTAAGGCAGCAGGAGTTGCAGAGAGCGCTGGCGGAGAATGTCGGTGCACCCAGATCCTGGAAGGGGGAGGGGGCAACCCCCTGGAAGTTCCATTCGCCACTGAATCGGACGCCCGGATGTATTTAATTGGGGACCACCCCACCTCCGACGTACAACGGTGCTTTCTTCACGTGGCTCCCGAGTATTGCCAAGACACTGCATGTTGGTTGCCTTGTTATTTCCTTCGAACTGCATCCACGAGAGGATTCACATTGTTGTTTGACCCAGTCTCCAGTTGCCACGCTCGTCTAACCACTGCCGCAACATGACCGGGGGGTGACTCATCGGCCTTTTTCCACACCTCATGACAAAACTGTGCCGCATTTCTGCGATTTTGCGCAGCGAGTTCAGTCACCGGTCGCTGGTCCAGGAGCGGCTCCGTCAGCAGATGGAGGACGTGCGGCTGGAGGCCAACGAAGCCTTCCGAGCCGTTGAGGCTGAGGATCGGCCAGAGGCGGACGTGGAGGCGCTGAATGGGGCAGGTGGGATGAAGGCAGAGGGATGAAGGCAGGTGAGTTGAAAGGAGCAACGCCAGGGAGTGCAGCAAACCCGAAGTTTGTGTCCAAGCAAATCTTTGGGCAGAAGAAAGCCAGCCGTTATAGCCGTTCAATCCCAGAAAGGAGCGAGGCACCTGACTGGTGTGTTTCGTTTTTGGGGCTTCCTCTCCACAAGTAGGGGACAGATCAATGGGGAACAAGGAAGGTTTTGTTTGCTGCAATTTACCCATGGCCCATTGGTCAAACGGTTGGCCGAGTGATGTCGAGTGTTCGCGCATGTCGTCAGGAGCTGGAGCAAAGGCTCTCCGGCTTGGAGCTGCAGCACGTGCCCCTCGGTGAGCCACTTTTTGGATGGATACGATACTTTGCACTTTTAGACAACGTCACTTGCCCGAACCCTTCTTGCTCCTTGCTGGCAGGAACCTCATGGTGAGATGGCTTTTGATGTGAACCCGAATTGATATGCTTGACCTGCGAATAGGGCCAGGAACAAAAAAGGAACCCATTTTCGGGCCTGATCAAAATTGATCAAGCGGGTTCCATTCAGATCAGGAATCCGGAAATCAAGCCAAAAAGATCAGGATGTAACCTTTTGGATCCACACGGATCCCACGCGGTGCGCGGGTTCAGGCAGCTGAAGGCGGAGCTGGTGGTGTTGCAGAGCCGCGTGGAGGGGGAGGCGACGGACCGGGCGAAGCTGGAGCGCGCTCCTCGCCAGACGTGTCCTTTGCGCTTCCTTTTGGTTGCACGTGGGTCTTTCGTTTTTGGGTTTCTTTTTCGGTGTTTGCTTGGACCCCGTTTTGGTTTTAAGTTGATTTCTCCTTTCTCGTGTCATCTTCAGTATAATGTCCTTTTCGCGTTGTTGTTTTTTGGTTTCAATGTGGTTTATTTGCTTGTTTCTTTATTGTTTTTGTTATTTTCCCATTTTGCCATTTGCTAATTTTGTCATTTCCCCCTTTTTTCCGTTTTGGTTTCGTTTGGTTTCATTTTTCTTGGGGGAAGCCGCCCAGCCGCCTCCTTCTTCCGGACCCAGGACCGGGCACTTTGGAGGGCCCAGACGGAACTGGCGAGGAAACTGCACCTGGAAGTGGAGCAGGCGGGGTTTGACGCGTGACGCCTGGGCCTTTCTTCGCCTCCGAAAACCGAACTCCAGAGCCCGGTTGGAACACCAGAGACCCGCTGGAATTTCTGATTCTTGGACCGTTTGCGCGCTGGCGGGCTGGACTTGAGGCGGCGCAGCAGGCGAAGACCGCCTGGGTGCAGGAATGCGACCAGCTCAAGGACAGGGGGGCCATGGGGAAGGCATCCCATTTTGGGTGTTGTGTAACTGAGGCTACCCATCGCTTTTGAAGGGAAACCAAAAGGAACACCACAGTTTTGGGGGTCCAAAGTGCAATGTTTGCACAACCTTCTGGAATGGACCAAAAAGAGGGTTTGTCGTTGCGAGGAGCAGCTGGCTTCGGCGCGGGCCAAGGAGCAGCGGTTGCGGGACGCGCAACACGCGCAGGCGATCCCCGTTAGGATGATTTTTTTGGATAAAGCCAAAGGACCACTGTTGCCGTTTTGGGGGCCACAATCTCTCTCTTTCTTATTTCTTCTTCTTTTTTTTCCTCGCTCTCTCTCTCTCTCTCTCTGCCTGTTTGTGAATGATGCGCAAACATGCAGCGTCGTGGGTGAGCGCAGACCGACGGGGACACCAAGGCATCACTCGACACACTTGCCAAGTGTCAAGTTCATTTGCGTGGAACAACGGATTTATATGGTATGAATTTGTGCTGGCCATCAAATGCTGGCATTACACCAGCGTATTCGGAGAGAGTCCTCGGGCCCTTGGCTCCCACAACAGGTTTTAGGTCAGCATATCTAGTAAATTTCAGCCACAAGAGCCAGAGACACATAGTGATTTTCCATACATTTCTCATGCCCTTGAGGCATATTTTGATTCCGTGGCATCTGATGCTCCCACCAAGCGCCACGGCTCGGCCTTGGCAGGTAAAAAACGTGGAGCCACGGGACCTGCGGGACCCGCGAGACCCACGAGTGGTGGGGCAGCTGCAAGCGGAGCTGAAGGAGGTGGGGGGAACGGGCCTGGTAATGCTGATGAACCAAAAGGATTGCTACAGCCCTTCAAGGACAGGGGCCAGTCAAGCCATCACCAAATATCAGCTGATCTTAGAGGACCCAACACGTGGCAAAAGCTGAGCCCGGGACCAAAACACACAGAGCCTAAACCTCTCAGTCCATCAGGTCTTTGCTGGAATTAGCAGTCCAGACTCATCTCCTCACATTTATTTCCGCCCCTTTGATCAGGTTGTTGGCTTTTGCTGCGCTCCTTTCTAGAATTTGTGTGTTTCTCTCCTCATTTCTTCTCTCGCTTTCCGCCGCTCTTCTCCCCGCCCCTTTTCCGGCTGAGCCTTTTCCTCTCCAAATTACCTGGTACCCTATTTTGGTTCCAAGGGTAACCAAAAAGGACACTCCACCACTTGTCCAAAATCCGCAAATTTGACGCGCTGGCCATATCCTTATAGAAACTTTCTTTGTTCATATGTGTGAAGCTTCGTTCCAATGGGCCGGGGAAGCCACTGGGCTCGCCTTCTCCGCCCCGTCCGCGGCCGGCCGGAGGTGCAGCGGTGCCTGGGCACCGTGGCCGCGGCGCTGTCGCGGCAGAGCGCCGCGAAGGCGGCCGCCTGCACGCAGCTGCACAAGGAGCGCGGACGGGGGGGGGAGGGGACACCACGTGGGTTTGTCTCAAAGGGTTTCCCAAAAATTGGGTGTCCTTTTTGGTTTTGTTTTGAAACCATCTGAAAAAGGGTACCAGAAACAAAGGACCTTTTTTGTGGGTGCCCTTCTGGGGCGGGAGTAAAGGAAACCAAGAACACCACAAGTTGTGAAGGCTTGTTTACAGGGAAACCACAAAGAATGAAATGTCCAAACCCTTGCTTTGACAGGGCTCCCTTTCTACACCAAACAACAAGTCACGGTACTCCGGAGCCAGTGATGAGATTTCAGCCATTGCCAAGTCTTGCTGAGGCAGCGCTACTGCACATGCCACTGTCACTTGTTCAAAGAGGGCTGCAGTTGACTTGTGATGGGCGCCCGACCAATCACTTGAATAGTGGGGTTGTTGGGGGGGGGTCAGGGGGTCGAATGTTGGGACGCTTGTGGCCGTCTCAACTCAGTCAAAGTGGGGCCATTCGGGTGGAGGGCTAGGCTTGAAGCGGAGCCATGGACTTTCTTCGGCCTGCCAGGTGGGATCCGTTGAGGCGGGATGGGCCGGCAACCATCGGCAGCACATGCCAACCAACTGTCAAGCGGTTCCAACCAACATATTGCCCGTTGATATGATTGAAATATCACCCTTCCGGGCCTTGTCAAGTGAGCTTGGTTCTGCTGGTGAGGTTTGGGGGTGCAAACTGGGACCCAACAGTGACCACAGGCTGGTTGTTTGGCGATGGCTGAGTTGGAGAGGTGAGGCTTAGGGTTTGGGGCTCATTCAGACCGAAACTGCGTGACGACATGAGAGGTTGGCGAGTTTGCCACATTTAGGCTCTTCAAGATGGCTGATGTGCTTTTGGCATGTTACCGCATGGTCGCTTGAGGCCTTTCATGGCCCGTCATCGCCTCAATGTGTATTTCCTGTAGACAGGTAGCCTCATATTTCCTCTAGAAGGGTAGCCTTATAGACTTATAGACCTCCTACCTCCAGACGGGCAATTGCCTATCTCGGCCAGTTGCACAACCTTCACTGACATTTCTCCATGCAGCCCTGCCCTACTCATGTGTTTAATGTGTCACATTGGTGCTGTTTGCGTCTTGCAGTGGTACAGCTCCGTGGCTGGTGCGTTCGGGCGCTTTTTGCGAGCCGGACCTGTGACAAGTAGAGCCCCTTTCGTAGTGCTTGGAGCTGGCTCCAAGATCCCTTCACCCTCTGGATGCGTAATTGAATAGGGGCCCTCAGTCGGAATCCAAAGCATTGTCGACTTGAACAGGGGTAGTCCCAGACCCATCCGAGCCTCATGGCATTTCAAAATGGAAGTAGAGCCCCTTGAAGCATTCGGTCATACACATGGCATGCATACACATGGCATGCGCATCCGTTCCACTCCGAGCCTTGCGGGTTCCCTCAGCCCAGCCAGGCGGCAAACCAAGGCCAGCCCAATGTTCTTGCCCGGGGTTGGGGGTGGGAGTGTGAAGCCAGCCGAAGGGACTCAATGTTCTTGTTTTGAGCAGCACAGACCTGTGTGGCTTTGTTCTCGCACATGCAACTTGTGGACAGGCGGGCGCATGCGTCTGCGAGTCTGCGAGTCTGCACTCAACATTTCAGATTTCGAGTTGGTTCATGACAGCAATGTCGACCCTGGATGGATAAACCAGCCCGCGCCACCACATCAGTCAAGGAGTTGGTGAGGGATTCAACTTGAAAAACCGAGGCGGACTCCCCTTCGAGCTCGCCAGGCTTGGACGCGGATGAGTTCCGCCAGGCCCAAGCCGAGGAGGAGGCGCGTTTCACGTTGTGGAGTTGTACGACAGCAAAACCAAAAGAAAATAGAAAAGACATGCAGGACATTTCGAGATGGGCCGGATGAAAGGTTCATTTCGAGCCCAAAAAATGAGCTACCAGTGCTTCCGGCCCCCCTTACCCTGAAATTGCAAAGTTTCTCCCCCGCTTTTGAGAGTTTCTCAAATGGTGAACGCTCTTGTGGTTGGCAAGGGGTCCGATTCCCGTGTTTTGCAACACCCCCCCTCTTTGGGGGCAGCTACCCATTTGCTTTCCTTCTCCTTCTGGTTGTTGCAGTGTTCACATCCCTTGGGGGCATTGGACTTCCAGGCGGCGCGGCGGACGGCGGAGGCCCTGGAGGCGGAGCTGCGAAAGCTCCAGCGCCTGCGGGCGCAGGCGCGAATTCGGAGCCTCCCGTCGACTCGCCGGTTCCGCATCCGTGGGTTCGTGTTAAAATGATTTGTGTCCCCCTGTGGCACACGGTCGCTCCGCTCCCCCCCCCCCCCCAACAAAAGGGGTTGCTTACTTTTGGACTCGGGACCCGACGAGGACAAAGTCTTGGCAAGAAGGAGACACACACGCACACAGCCCATTGGCTCAGCGTGTGCTCCGATGGCGGGCTCCCTCAGCCCGCTCAGCTTGATTGGTGCACAAGCAACTCGCAGTACTTTGTCAGCTGTACTTCTGCACCAAAGCTGCATTCCAATTCTCCCACTTTTTTGCATTTTCTTTTTTTTGTTTGGGTGGGGATTTTGGCAGGGCGACGCAGACTCTCGGCTACGCAGCGTTTGGCAAAGCCTGGGGGTGGATCGCCGGGGCCTTAGAGTGGATAGTGCAGGGCTTGAACCTCATATCTAGCAACTAAAGCAGAAAAGCCTAGAGACTCAGAGAGGGTTGTACACAAGTTGGGCGCACATTTTGCGTCCCCTCTCTTCAGGCCTGCACCGTGCAGAGCTGAAGCGCCGGCCTTGGTTCCGTGGTTCCGAAGTTGCGGGGCACCCCAATGTTGGAGCTCGGGGGTTGTATTTGTTTGGCAGTTTGAAGGAGACTGGAGGAAACCACACTGGAAGGAAGATCCAGGCCAACGCCCAATTGGAATGCCTGCCGTGATATCTGGACTGTCCAAGGGCAACAAAGGCAATCCTTAATCCTACCGTCAATTCAAAAGGGGCCCATTTGCAATTAGTGGGTCTCAAAAGGAGAGCGCCGAGCTAGCTCGAACTTTCCTTTGATGCCTGCCAAGGTTGGCAAGCCCACCAGGCTGGGCACTGCAGATCAGTTGCAATCCTATGGACACCAGAGCCACCAGATTTTCTGCATTCCATAACGGGCCCAGGCTTGGGAATTACCAGCTGACCAATTGACAGGACACAACATCATGTACTGAGACAATTCAATTGCACATATACAATATGCAACTCAATAATTTACGACTCATAATTCTGGAATCAAATATATATAATTAATTCAATCAAGGAAGAATGAATACCCCTGATTGATTAACTCCTAATAAGTTACCTTTATATATTACTTATTTATATATGGATTTATTTAAATTCTTATGATATATTTTATTAACATCGCCCTAAATAACGAAAGCTTATATCGATATTACTTCTTTAAACCATGTATTAATTTTACACAAATATATATGTGTTATTATTGGCATTTATTAATATTGGATAATATTATTTATTTAATTATTTGTTTGTTTTTTTAAATAAAAAACTTAAAAAAAATATATAATATTTACATTATTTTTTAAATGATTTTGTTATTATTATTATTAATTATAATTAAATTATTATTTATTATTAATTGAATGTATTAAATTATATTTTGGAGTATATTTTTAAATTGAATTATTATATTTAGGAATTTAATAATTAATAATATATATATATATATTTAAGGTAATATTATTTTTTTGTTTTATAATGATTTAATATTTGATTACTTGGGAAAATTTTATTTTATTGATAGATATAGGATTATTTTTTTTGTTTGTAATATTATATATATATATATTATAATTAATATATTATTTTCTTTTGATTAAATAGGTTATATGTTTATTTGGAGGTGCGTTTTAAGGATGATGAGTTGGTTTCTTTGATTTTGTTTTGATTATTTCTGATGTATGGCGATGTTTTTTTCGATTATTTTTCTTAGTTTGTGTTTAATGGAGTTGTTTTTCCTTGCCTCGTTTTCGGAGTGGGGTGGTATAATCTCCGTGCCTAAAGTGATGTTGGGTTATGGGTGGGCGAGTATTTCCATATGAAGATTTGGGCTGAATTATTTATTGTAAGATAGATTGTTAATCCTTTTTCGTTGGGCTAGGTCCCGATCACGAGGTAAGGGCTGAGTTACGTTCCCACTCACGCTCGCTTTTACATACTATATTTATTATATATAATTATATATTATATATATAATTGTTGTATAGTTTTATAAATTTAGTTAATTATTAATTCATAATTATATATATATATTTATTTATATTTTTATTATAATGATAAATATGTTATTTAGAGTTAATATAATTTTTTATAATAATATTTATTTGATTGTTTTTTAAAGTTGAATTTATATTTAATTATATTAATGTATTTTATAAATATTTTGATTTCTATTTATTTGTATTATTAATTATATATATTATTAATATTATTATTTAAACAATATTTGTATAATGTTGGTTTTTTAATATAAATATATTACAACTTGATAAATACTATAGAAATAATAAATACAATTAATTTTATTATTTTTATATTTTTTTAATTATATAAATTAAAATTACTTCGATAAAACCCCACAGGGATGAATTTAATAATAAATAATTCGGGCAAAAAGAAAACACCATAATTAATTTATACCTTCTTTATTATAAATAAACAATAAATTTATTTACTCTATAAAACGAAACCGTAAAACTTACTCGTCACTACCCCTGGAAAATGCGATCGCTTCATATTTCCTATGGACCGCTTACCCAAATCTATCCGGGCTACCCCGACCATAATCCGGAAGATGCACTGGCTTCATTTTTTATAAAAACCGATTTCCCGAAATATTCCAAATAATAGAAAATCGCAACCACCCACCATTTGCTCGAAACATTCCGAATAATTCGGGAACCGTTTTCCCGAAATATTCCAAATATTTCGGGAAATGTTATCGTCGAAATATCCGGAATCTTTCGGAAAAATGGTCTGGAGTGCAATTATCGAATTATCCGGGATATTTCGGAAAAATGGTCCGGGCTTTAAACGAAGCCGTTGTATCTTCCAGATAAAGAATCGGGGCATATATCTGCCTGTCCATAGCAATTTTAGCTGCAATCTTAGTCCATCTTCCGAGAATTTAGCGATGCGAGAAGCTGTGAGCTATGGCCGATTGTTACGACCAGTGGTGTTTTGCCCAATGCTTTAGGCGAAATCAGTTCGGTTTTTGCTTGCACCCAGGATATTTTCTGGTCGATCGCGTTTTCGCTTGCGTTTGCAACCGCTGCGTGTGTGGATGGATCTTTTGAGGCCAGCAGCCCGCGGATCCGTTCTCACCTTGCTCAGGCGACCGCCTTTCGCTTTCTCTTTAGCGTGACCTTATCGCGACCAATCCGGCCATCAGTGCGTCTCGCGACCTGTGTTGGAGAACGGCAACATGCTTTTCGCATGCGACGAGCATACAATTTTTGATTCATATGAGATAATACAACATGTTGGTGCCTGAGTTGCAAAAAATATCTTGCCGACGCGGGCTCTATAAGATTTGCTCTGTTCTTGACACACCTTGGCCCCTGAGAGCTCGGCCCTTTTTTGGCACCCGCCCCAACATACCCCCTAATTGCTAGTTTGGATTGGTGGTTTGGGGATTGAGCCCCTGGATCATGTTGAAATTGAATGGGAAACGACTCTCGTCTCGAACGTCCAAAACACCGATCCAAACTACCAATCCAAACCGGGCCGGTAGCAACCCGGGTGCCCAGTCTAAAGAAGGCCGCCGAAAACCTGCAACCACCTCCTGGCCACGGGCCAAAATACAGTCGTCGTGGAGGGCAAGGAGAGCGGCGGGGCAGCGCCGATACAAGCGCGCGACAAACCGTTTCCCACTGGCGCTCGCTCCACTGGGCGGGGGCGCCAGGAGACAAATGGCCAGCGGCCGCGTGCAACTGGGGCACGCGCAGCCGAGAGCTCGCACGCGCGTTTTTGCCCGTCTGCGTCACGGCTCGGGCTTGGAGTCGGACGCGTGCGCGTGCGCAGGCGAAGCCTGTGGCATGTCGACATCAGAATCCGGCGCGCTGCGCGCCAGAGGCGTGTCTCTTTTTGTCTCTGTCTCTCTGTCGGTGTCTGTCTCTGTCTCTCTTTGTCTGTTGGTCTCTCTGTCTCTGGTATCTGTTTCTTTGTCTGTCTGTCTCTGTCTGTCTCTGTCTGTCTCTGTCTGTCTCTGTCTGTCTCTGTCTGTCTCTCTGTCTGTCTCTCTGTCTGTCTCTCTGTCTGTCTCTCTGTCTGTCTCTCTGTCTGTCTCTCTGTCTGTCTCTCTGTCTGTCTCTCTGTCTGTCTCTCTGTCTGTCTCTCTGTCTGTCTCTCTGTCTGTCTCTGTCTGTCTCTCTGTCTGTCTGTCTGTCTGTCTGTCTGTCTCTGTGTTTGTGCTCGTGTCTGTGTTTGTGTCTGTGTTTGTGTCTGTGTTTGTGTCTGTGTTTGTGTCTGTGTTTGTGTCTGTGTTTGTGTTTGTGTTTGTGTCTGTGTTTGTGTCTGTGTTTGTGTCTGTGTTTGTGTCTGTGTTTGTGTCTGTGTTTGTGTGTGTGTTTGTGTGTGTTTGTGTCTGTGTGTTTGTGTTTTTGTGTCTGTATGTTTGTGTTTGTGTGTTTGTGTGTTTGTGTGTTTGTGTGTTTGTGTGTTTGTGTGTTTGTGGGTTTGTGGGTTTGTGGGTTTGTGAGTTTGTGAGTTTGTGAGTTTGTGTGTCTGTGTGTTTGTGCGTTTGTATGTTTGTGTGTTTGTGTTTGGTTTGTGTTTGTTTTTGTTTATATTTTTTGTTTTATTATATTTAGGTATGTGAAATATTGAAGAGTACGGTTACTATTTTCGTTTTTGATTTTTTTTTTGTTTAATCTTAATTATTAAGAATATTTTTTGGGTGGTTAGAACAATTATTTATTTAGATTTTGTATTTTTTTTATTTTGGTTGAAATATTGTGCTTGCTTTACGAGAATTTGATGATATAATTCGATTATTATATTATGTTTTTTAATGTTTTGAACGAAATTGGTTTGGCTTTGTTTGCACTTAGGATGTTTTTGGGTTGATTGTATTTTCGTATATATTATAATAATTATATATAGGAATGGATTTTTTGAGGCTAACAATAATTTATTTCCTCCTTGTTTGGACGATTGCTTTGCGCTGATTATATATCCATATGCTGGCATCGAGCACCTAAGACACATTGTTGCTTTGCAATAGGAAATATATTGAGGTGCTATTGAGAAATTCTATCTATAATTCATCTTTAGATATTTGGGTTTCCAGAATTGGATTTCTAATTAATATCTTTCGAACTTTTTTGTTTGGGTAGGTCCAAGGCAAAAAATCAAAATTGCAATCATTCATTTTCTCGAAATATTCCGATTTCGTCTTTCGTCAAACATTTGCTCGGTCTACTTATTTCTGAGTAGGATCGTGCATATCCATCTATAATTATTAATTGGAATGTTTTTTTTTCTAATTCTATTATTCTTCATTTTTTCATATTAATACTTGAAATATTTAATTTATCAATAGGAATTTCGAAAATATATGTTTTATTTTATTTATATACCTACCTTTTAGCGCGGCGAAGAACTTCCTACAATTTTATCGAAATTTCCGAATTCTTCAAATTTTCGCTTAGAATTCTCGTAGCAGAACCTAGCCCAAATTTTCCTAGATTTTGGATCGTTTCCGGCGATCCGGCTCCTTCTCTGCCATTCTCGTTCTCAGAATTGTTCTTTTCTCATTATTATTTCTATAATTCTCATTATTCGTTCTGTTGTTATCGTTATTCTCTTTGCAATTCTCTCTGCTACCTTTCCTTCTTTCCCTCTTTCTTTCTTTTTTTATTTCTCCTTTTTGTTTTTCCTCTATTATTCTATCCTTCTATCCTTTTATGTCTTTAATTCTATATTAATCTAATTCTTCATTTCTCTGTTTTTTTGGTTCTATTCTTAATAATTATATTTCTTTATATTTATTTTTTCTATATTGTTATTTAGATTATTATAATTCTTTATTTATTTATACATATTTAATTCTTTTAATTTTTTTATAATCTTAAATATAATTTAATATATATATATATATTAAATTATTATAAATTCTATAAATATTCTCTAATTTATTCCATAAAGATTATAATAAATATTCTACCCCATAATAATAATTATCATTTTCAAATTTATATACATATATAATAATTTTATCAATTATATATATCCTTTTCAAAATATATTATTTTATAAACAAATATAAATCATTAATAAAAATAAAAAATTATTTGTATTATAAAATAAAAATATATATAATTTCAGCAAAATATAAAAATAATAATAAATTAAATCATATTCATTAATATTCATCTTTAAAATCAATCTATATTAAAACCATTATTAATTACATACACTTAAAGCTAAAAAAAGCTAAGCGAAAGCTAAAATTCCATAATATTAAATATAATGCTGAAATAATATCGATATTATCCGCGAAATATATCAATATTCGAATATATATCGTTAGAATTGTAAATATTTCTTTGGAATAACAAATTCGGTAAAAAAACCAATACCAAAATACTAAATAAAACCAATAAATAACCATGGAATCATTAGCATTTAATATCTAGCAGAATTTTAGCAAGCCATACAAACGTAGATGTATCCATCGTTCCCCACTAAAACTACGCATAGAGCAGAGAATCGCAGTGGGAAGTCGTGAGTAAGACAAACACCAAGGGCGCCGAATGCGACTGAAAAAGAGGCCGCAAAAACGTGCACATTAGGACCAAGTTGTGAATAAGACCGGCGCTAGTCGCAAAAGCAGAACATTTACCTGGAACTTCAACGGTGTGCCCTCATTGCTATCCCAGACAGTCCTGGGCTAGACAATAGGAGCGCATCAAAAAAAGAAGCTACAAGAACGGCAACGTTTCTATAGGGTGTACTAGCACCAAATGAACAACACCAAACCGCTGGGGAACACGCTTTTCAGTCAGAGCAGGCAGCCGTGCAAAGCCGTGCTACAAAGAATAATAGAAATCGAAAAGACAATCTTCCAAAAGGCAGACTGCACGCGACCGCAAAGGAGTCGAAGGCAGACTGCACGCGACTGCGGAGGAGTCGTGCCCGCGGAGGGGGGCTGTGATAAATCAATTCTTAGTATTGCAACCCCCCCCCCTTGCTGAAGCAAGAGCAACTGCAGCTAGCTGATGCTAGCTTTCGTGACAATCATCGTCTACAAATGATATGAACTTATGCTCATCTTCTTTCATATATTTAATGGTTTGTGTGGAGGGGTCGGCTCAAGGGCCCTTTTTGTTTGCACGTGCTGAAGCTGGATTCGTGGCAATCGTAGTACTTTAGACAGTTTAGACTGGTAGGTATCGGTCGGATCGGAGCTCGGAGGGGGTCTGTTTGCATGACAGTGGCAACACTTTGGCGCTGTTCGCGGCAGGCAATGTGTTTTGCATTAGTTCGTGCAGAGCCGTCGGCTCGGGGCCTCTGTTTGCGTGATATGTGCGTGGAGCGGTCATTGTGGGGCAGATGCAGAACTTTAGATTGGTTGGCGCGATGCGGTGGGCTCGGCGCCGCGGCATGTTTCCCCATATTCGCTTTGTGCAGCCGTCGTGCGATTTTGCGGCGGCTCCATTGTTCTAACTCATTAGTTAATGAATGCAATACGTTGCACAGTAACCACTACATTAGTTACCGCCAACAATGATACGCACAACACTTGCAAGCCCCCCCCAGTATTGCAGCAGATCACACGAATCAAGAATCAAGTTCACCATAAGTACGGCAACTGAATGCAACTAAATTTTGATCTAAGCAATATATAGCTCAAATCCAAGACTTGCCTCAGCTTCTCCGAGAATGCTCTAAAAATTATGTAGCCTGCCACATGTATATATCACTTATTCCTTGCAAGGCAATTCCACTAATTCGTTTAGAACACACCATGCCTATACTTTCATGGCATGTGTTTAATTTGTTGATGCTAGTCATGTGTGTATCGCATAATTGATACTTGGACATGCTTTATCATGCAAACTGATAGTTATTGCTAAAATGCTTAGCCAGATTAGTGAGTCCGTGGCTGCAATGGTTGCAAGAAGATCTGGCGGTGGGGCATTGGTAGCAGGCAATGGCCCAGGACCTTTTTCACAAAGCTGGTGCCAGCATGCGAGGCGGGCACGCGGGGCAAGAACAAATGATGCATTTTTCCAAGCTGTAGTGATATGAATGCGTGTGTATATGTCAAATGGACATCTTTAGCTGCAATGTTTGAATGCCGTGCTCCTCCAGTTTGCAGCCCTTCAGTTACTGATGTTACTGTAGTTTTGTCGCTATGTCTGCATTTCTTGCATTTTGTCAATCTTCTCTTGACCAAGGGCGGGCCCAAGGTGGACAACGCCCTTGTTGGCATCCGACGCTAAAGTCAAACGATCTCCGTCCTTGCTTCGCATTGAGCGCCGCAAAAGCGGCAAAACCGGGCTTCCAGCCTCAGAGCATCAAGGGCTGGACAGGAGCAGGTCTTTTTGGAGCCACTGAAAGTGGTCCAAGCATCTCAGGAAGAACGACTGAGTGCGTGCCCGCCTATTCGCCTGGGAGCCGCGCGCTTGCACGGAGCCACAGCTGCTGCAACGGTTGGCGACCTGGCGAGCGCCAACACGGGAGCAAGGTTCCCGCACGGAACAGCAGAACTTGGATTAGGAAGCTAAACCACCTGGACCCGCACCCCAATGGTTCCCTCTGCAAAAAAGGCAGAGGCAGCCACAGAGGGCACCGCTCCAGACCCTATCTTCGATGGAAAGGAGAACAAAAGCCGTGCAAACCCACACTCGTTCGACCAAGCTTACCCGTTGCCGACCGGTCACGTCTGCCTTGCCAGCCTTGAGGGCTCTCTCAAGCCTGGCTCGAAATGCACGGTGGCCATGTCAAAAGCTTGCGATTCAAGCCCTTGTTGCAACAACCTCCCTTTGGTCCGCCTATCGAGAAGGGTGTTAGGGTCTGGTTGCTTAAAGCAATGTTGCCCAGCAGCTGATTGGCTGAAATGAGCTTCGAGCATGAGATGTGAGCCGGAAGAAATTAAATACTCATTCAGCAGCCACGGGCTGCACTCTGCAGTGCGGATGCTATTTTCGCGCTGCCCGCTCGTGCTGTTACAACGGAGTGTGAAGGTTTGAAATCTTACGATCTCTCCGGGTAATCCAAGCCATGATAGCCCTCAGGTTCTTCCTCAGCATAGCCTCAAACAAAAGGATTTCCAAGACCAAACGAAAGATACATAATCGTGAAGATAATCAAGCTAGGAACAACCTTGTCCCTACATAATATTCATCAATTAACTGGTGAACCATTGAGCTAATCCGTGAGAAAAGACATGAACACATATGAACGACATAACCATTCCCATCTTCATCCATCGTTTGCAAGCTTCGGAGTTCGCTTAAGAAAAGCATCATACAGCTCATGTTTTTTCAAAAAACGATATTGCAAGAGAAGACGGGACATGAACATATTGTTCTAACTATAACACATAACTAGAAATGGACAAACAAAGGTCAATAAGACAGCATTTAAACTACGCCCAAAATGATTCTGATTGATTCAAGCGCAGCTTATGCACAAGATGCACTGCAGGCACATCGAACCAAGCCATCGAACCAAGCGCATATGCAATCGAAATGGTTTCTGCACGGTTGATTATTTGTTTGCCTGTGCTTAGCAGGACGTGACCAACAACGGATGGTTTGGGCAACTCCTGTGTTCCCAGGCTAGCCTAGTCACTGCATGCATGGTACATCGGCCCAAAGGTGATGTTTGCATCTCCCAAGTGGCCATGGGAAGAAGAAACCACTCCCCTTTTGGGTAGTTGATTTTCAAGGGACCCCCCCCCCCGAAAAGCAACATGGCGTTTGCAAGAAACGAAGAGGAAACAAGGAAGCAACCCATGTCTCAGCTCGCCTGGAAGCCGTCAGGGCTTGAGCTTCTGCAGCCTCGGCGCAAGAGCGGCACGGCTGTATAAAAAACATCGAGGAGTAACGCTGAGGCAAAACGGCCCTTTGCATGGAGAGAAACGCCGTGCCCAAAGCATCCCGAAGCCCTAAAGGCACCACCCCAGTGCATCTGCGAAAATTTATGTGCCTTCTCAACTGGAAACACTGGCTCCGCAAGAAATGAACCTCAGAGCAGCTATAACCCCTGCGGAGCCAACACTATAGGCTTTCTGCGTTGCAACCCCCTGTGCATGGGGATTTGTCACAAAAATGAAGGGGCCATTAACCAAACATAACATCAACTGTTTGGGCAATCACCTGCTTTTGACGCATTCTCAAATTTGGCTCCAACTAATGGCCACGACGGAGCAAGTTCATGCAATCAGCCAAACGGGCAGGCAACTCACCCGCAAAATGCGCAAATTTGGACTTGGTTCCTGCTGCTGCTCACGAGGCCCCCTCCCCCCCCCCCACCCTGAATTGCCCAAATATAGCCTTCGGGCTTTCAAAGCCTAAACAAGACTCATATTCTTAGGATGTGGGGTGCATGGGAACAAAGCTTCCAACCACTACCTAAAAGAAGCCAATGCTAGGTCGATGAAGGTGACATCCTCAAAATGACACTCCAAATTGTGGTTTGACAAACCCCCCCAAAATAAAACTTGAGTACCCCGGCAGTACCCCCGTCCAAATGTCCACTTCAACGGACCAGCAATACAGCAGCCGTTGGTAGCTTGAGATTTGGGGGCCTTCATGGGTTAGCTCGTTTGGCATTTTGCCTGCAGGCTGCCTCCTCCCTGGGACTCTCCACTCTCCTCATGCCAAGTGGCAGGAGGGATGTTGCGCAAGCTGCCTGCGCCAGCGGATGCAGCAAGAATCACGAGCATGCAGTGGAAGCCGGGTTTGAATCGTCTGGCATGCTTTCAGTCGAAATGTGGAGCCTGAAAGCCATTTATTTAAAGACACGCGCGAGAAGTATTGAATAGCAACGAGTATTGGGCCCTACCCCCTTGTATGTGAGTTGCTGATGCTGTCCTGCTGCTACCTCCTCTGTTCTCCATTGGCCCCCACCGACAGACTATGATGAGCTTGAGGAAGTGGTTAACTCCCTCGGGAGGTTTCTGAATTTACCCAAAGAAATGGCCACCGGCTATGAGAGATGTGTTTCATTTGTTGGTTCTTGTGGGAAACAATGGTCTACATCCTTCAAGGCATGCTGCAAACAAATTCAACCAATGCGAATTCGTCATGGAGGTACCTGCTATTCTCACGCCGCCCGGCCGGGATTACACCGCGCAAGTGCTGGCAACGTGGCCTGAAGCCACGAGGGACGCGCTTCCCACGCCGGGCAAAGGGGCAGACCTGGCCAGGGTAATGTTCGGGGCGTGCCTGCTGAGGTGTCTTGAATCCTGCTAAGCCTTGATCTAAAGCTGCCAATTCAATCAGAAGGCTGGACAAGGGGTATCTCATGCCCAGCCTCAGGTGTAGACCTGTCAGGTCCTATTGAGGCGGTGCCATCGTCTGTTTTGGGATTGGGGATCCTCGCCAGAAATGATATGCCTAGAGGTGTCCCACGGGCGGGTGCTCATTCGAAATAAGTAAGCTGTGTGTCTAGGGGTGTTTGGAAGAAACCTCCCAAAAGCAACACCGAGGACCTCTTCCGTTGTCTTTTTGCCCCGACCTCTTCCAATTGGTGGCTGTTGCTCTGGTGTCCTTTAACCCCCCCCGTCTCCCAAGGTTTCGGTGTGGGCTCAAGCTCTTTTCACTACGCTGCTCCGGCCATGGCGGCATAACACCACGTCCCCATGAACAACCCACGCGAGGACTCCAACAGCTTCTTGGCCCGGTGCCCTTGCGAAGGATCAGGGCCAAGTGTCTTACCCCACCCCGCAACGGAACATGACACCCCTCCTAAGTCCCAAGAGCTGCTTCCAAAAACCTTTAGCACAGGTACCCGCCCCCCATGTATTGAGCTGTCTAACCAAGCTCTTTGGCCATCATGTGCGTAGCCATGCCAGCTTTCAAACAACTCCAAAGAGGAAGTCAGACCTCATTGAATGAAACCATGCAGCCTTTGCTGAGCGATGCATCGTGTTCTTAAAGGATGTCAGAATGGAGGTTTCCCACTTGTAATCACCTCCAGAAAAGTTGCTTTCTACTTAAATGTATCTTGACTTGCCGATTTTTAATGATATTAAGCCCCGTTCAGCCGTAGTAGGCCTTCAAGCCGACTGAGCTCCTGGCTCACACGTTACCTGCGTGGCGTCCCCCCCCACCCCCCGGAAGCTCACCTGAAGGACCTGCCAATCAAAGACTGACTTTCGAGGCCTGGCCTGAAAAATGGGCCAAACGGGACACCCAAAGTTTGAAGGTCAGCTTTGGACTGAGAACGGCTGAGGGGCAGATCCGACCAGAGTGGTTTGGTCAAAGGGCGTTTGATCAACTCCCTTCTAGACCCCCAGAAATTCCGCTATCCCTGATTTGAACAGTGGATGATATGATGCACTCCCGCTGTTTGGCTGGTTCATGCAGCAATCAGTTCGCGACGGCTTGGCGTTCCAGCATTGACTCTAAGAGAGATGCCTACAGACCTGGCTTGTACGGGTTCCCAAACAAAGTATGAAGGCTGGCTTTGCTTTTCATGTCAGCCCGCAACACGCCAGGAAGAATCCGGGCCTGTCCAGTCGGCAGATACGCTCGGCCGCCTCAGGTCAGTGCGGTGCCTGACACGGGTAGAGGGCTTGAGGTTTGGGTTTCGGGTCTCGGCCTAAACCCGCAAGCTAATTACCAGTGGCATAAGCCCAACATGAGACTGAAGAATGCAAATTTAGAGTGGAGTCAGCTGGAGTACGTCACGCATACATAAAAAAAACTCTTACATACCTAAACTACATCCTCCAATGGCCCCATAACATGCGAGGCGGCACGTGAAGCGTGCTTTTGCGTTCAGCGGCGGCCGTGCTGCTTAATGAACACATCCAAGGGAATTCACGTGAGCCACTCGGTCAACCCCCAGCTCTCGCAATTCTGCGCAACATCTCGCAGTCCAGCATCCTGAATTACACGATCCAAATATAAACGTCTTTACAAGTGGGATCAGCCTGTCATCCTTCTAGGGCTAATGAGTGTCTTCAGACACTGCCGAGATGTTGCCTCATGGCTGGCCTGCCTTCCCACACATCCAATGCAAGCATTGCGCTCCCTTCTAGGCTTCCTGCAAGCGATCGCCGCCTCAGGTACCCGTGCATGTTTACAAGCCGTTCGGTGAGAAAAAGAGAGCGAGGCAGAGAGAGAGAGGGAGTACATTGACCCGTCGAATTGCCCGCATGCAGCACCTTGCCTGTCCTACGCTAAGGTTGCACCTTAAGTAGGATGTAATTGCCGAGTTGCATGGCTAGGCAGTTTGAACCCTCATGACCCTTTACATGCATAAAGTAAATGCCTGCTTCGGCATCCTGCACAACTTCATGCTTGCCAACTCAGACTTTCCGAACATGTGTGCAAATGCCATATTCGTGGCGGGCTCACCTGCAGGTCCAGAAAAGCAAGGCCAGTGATCGGAAAGGGCCCTCTCGCGAGGGCCCCTACACTGTTGACAAGAGCAGCCCACGCTACGAGAACAGCTGCGAGAACATCACACCTGCCGAAGTTTGGGTTGTCACGTCTTAGCCCAAGAGAACAAGGAACTTGCCACCACAGGGGCCAAAAGCTGCCAGCTCAACTGGGCACCCAGCATATGGTCCAAAAAAGCTAGTGAAACGAGCGTGCATTTGTCTAGGAAAGCTGCCGGTAGGACAGATGTGCGCAGCGAGCCATTGGAGCCTCACGGGTGCGAAGGTCAAGGGCCTCTGGTTCCTGATCCTGGTTACTATGTGGTGATAGGACACAATATCCTCTTCAGCAGCCACTAAGCACAAGTGGATCAAACGCCAAATTCCTGTCTTCCACTCAAAGTCAGCCCTGGTAGGTTGCCACACGTCGCGCATTGACATCTTCCACAAAGTGGTCATGTCCAGGCCCTGGAAGCAAGCCATACTACGTACGTTATGCCAGCGTCTGGCTGAAACGAGGAACTGGCTGAATGAGTAGACATCAAACGCCACAGAGAAACGAGACTACACTCAAATACGCCAATTACACACACTGCGTGTGGGAGGAAACCGCTTCATGCTCATGCTATCTTCTTTCGACGCTGCTCTCCCCAGGTCGCAGGGCGAGGAACAAAAGTTGCATTGCGCAGCATTTGCTCTCTTGCACTCACTTCCTGAGCCGACCAGCTCAACTAGTAAAATGCAGTCCAGGAACTCAGGAAGTGAGGGTATGAGTGTTTGCCCCCCCTATCCCTGGGGTTTTCACCCCTCGGGGCCGTTGTCTTTCCAGCAATTGGAGTTGGTCCGGCATGCACCCTCAAACAACCCTGAAGAAACGCGAGACTCACCGCACAATTTCGGGCCATATCCAAGTTTAAGGGTATAGATGTATAGATTGAAGGTCCAAGTATGTCAGTTGGCTTGCTTTTCTGCTGACGGGGGACATTGCGAACTGTCACCAAATGATTCTCTCCTTGAAGGTTAGAAGCCCCTCCACCCACATCCAGTGGACCGATCGCACAAATGGCCTGCCCCTGGCGTGCGAGGGCTGCGAGGCCTTGGGGCTTCGCAGAACCCGCTGATTCTGCCCCCTAGTTGCCTAAGTGATTGTGGCAGGGTAAGAGATACGAGAACGATAGGCAACATCTGAAATTGCGAAATCGAGACGTAAACCATGTTGCTGGGCTATGCCGCAAGAGCCAATCGTTTCAGGGATAGCCCTCATATGTAGCAGATGGTGGCCAAAGACAGGCCTTGGCAGTCAAACATCTACCAGCAATCCAAATCCGATTCATCCATAGGCAAGGTTGATCTCAGATTGACATGGCAGCTTCCATTTCTCATCCAAACACAACAGCACAAATCAGTAACGCCCATAAGCAACAAGCATAGCTGCCTAAGGGCAATGGCCACGTTCTGTTCTTGCATGGCAAGCAACTCACAACTCCCCAGCAAGGCGCATGACCCCCAACCACTTCCACATGGGACACAGGAGCCTGTACGGGTAGCAAATATATCAAGGTTGTACACGCCTGCTCAGGCTCAGGTTAGTGCGTGAGGGGAGCGTATAACCAAATGCTACTACCTTGCAGGTCAACATGAAACTCAACCAACCATCAGCATTTTCGGAGAAATATCCTTTTGGGGAAGTCCCGTGTTGGCGTCCGTTTTAACGCTTGGCGGAAGGCAACACACATCTATGGCGGCAGCAAACCTCGGATTTGTAAAAAGCGCACATCAGAAAACCTTAGTTGATTGAGGGGAACTCATAAAATAAAAGGTCCGGTTCAAGGCCAGAAGGCCATGGAACACCAGCGGGTGGGGAGCTGGTCAGCCTTTCCGATGAGCCTGAAGGGCCAAATGCTACCTCAGCTGTTGCCTACCCAAATTCAAATCGATTATGCCTCATATGAGCTGCTAGTTTTCCCATTTCGGGTGTTTTAGTGAACCTCAAAACCTAAAACAAAGTCAATTAGACTGGCAACTACGACACCAGCAGATTCAATATTTGAAGTAATTCAGTCAACATCTAATAAAACATGATAGGGGCAGTATTCCGAAGCTTTTTGAGTCGCTGTGGTCCCTGTGGCAGGCCGAGCGATTGAACCCCATCTGAGCACCCGACGGATCGGCATTTGCAGCCGGTGAATGGGTCACCTGGAACGCCACGCTTTTTACACACTTGCGAGCGCTCTGCACACCCTTTTCATGGGGTTCGTCCCAAAAGAACGCAAGTAGTCTTGCGCGCCGAATTCGTGGGTGCGCTTTAACAAATGCATGCCGCAAACAGAAGGGCCCAAGATGGGTGCGGCTTGGTCCGCTCAAAGTCCGGTGAGCAGCCTAATAAAATGGGCTGCCGGTGCGAGTGGAAATTCGTGCAGTGCAAGGACAGTACAATATGTAAGAAGGTCTCAAGCAACAACAGCAATGCCCGCATGATCTCGCAGGCTAAATTGCTGCGGCTTTTCAGATCTTCACTTACGGCTTCTCTGCCACAAGCAACCCCAATCATGGAGGATAGGCGAGCAACAGGGCAATCACAATTGAAATCGCAACTTGCAGTGTCAACGTTTTTGGCCTCAGAGAGCACGCAGGGCACAGGATGCAAGTGGTCAATGGGCAGCCTCCCCCAAAAAAAACCTACCCTGCAGCAAACGTGAGTGGGATTGGAGTGGCAGACATGATCCTTGCGACATTTTTGACGACCGACGTGGTGCCGACTTATCGATCTCCTGGCCTCTGACCAGGCAGAGCTACCTGCGGCCGGAGGACATAGCATCTGCCTTCCGTTCATGCCAACAAAGTTGTCCTAAGTTCAAAACTACGTGTCAATCTGAAAAAAAAAACAATAGGCCCCCAAACCTGGCAACCTGGAAAACATGTGACCATGTTTCGTTTGATTTTGTCAAACTTGGGGCCCTCCCCAAACGGCTGGGGCGTCCATTTCCAAAATGGATGCCAACATGTACCGACGCCATGAAGCCGATCTATGGAAAGCACGGCGCAATCGGAGGGACAAGCACAAATGATAGTCTTTCCAGTTGGTTTCCCTTGAAAACAGGCCCAGAAACGGGCACGTTTTGCCCGAGCACACCGGTTGAATCCCAGCCAAGCCTTGGAGGTCTGGCGTTCGGCTCCCCCCGGCCCGGGGGGAGTGAGAAGGCGTGGCTGACCGCACTAACCTCAAACAGTTCAAGGAAAAGGGCGGCTTCTGACCAGAGAGGTCGAGATTGTGAAAAATGGTGACAATGGCAGAAAGAGCCAGCCAGGTACACAGAAAAACAAAGACACAGAAACGTAAAGAAATAAGACATATGAAGAAACAGAACCAAAGACACACACACACACACACTCGACGCAAAACCTTAAAGCGACCGAATCAGAGACGCAAGCAAGCAAGCAAGCAAGCAAGCAAGCAAGCAAGCAAGCCAGCCAGCCAGCCAGCCAGCCAGCCAGCCAGCCAGCCAGCCAGCCAGCCAGCCAGCCAGACAGCCAGCCAGCAAAACAAAGCTAAAGGATGCCTAGCTCTTTTTAAGCGGGGCCATTGCTTGATGTGACCCCAATGTTAGTACTTCATGATAGCGAAAAAGAAATGAGTGCTGGATATGTCCATTTATAATCTCATAAGTTAGTGAGTGCAAGTTGAACGAGCTAAGAGTAAGCATGCGTAGGTTGAGTGAGTGAGAGTGAAGAGGAGCCGCTGCGGAGGAGGAGGAAGAGGAGGAAGAGGAGGAGTGAGGAAAAGATTAAAAGCAAGAACCCGCAAGAATTTGGGGAACAAAGCAAACCAAACAAAAAGAACACCTCCACACACACACAGACCACCAAAGAAATAAAAGAAACGCACCAAGCATCCAAGAAAGTAAGCCCGCAAGCAAGCACGCAAGGAAGAACACCAACACACACACACACAAAACAAAAACACTCACAAACAACCAACAAACACACACACACACAACATAATAATAGCAAGCAAACGCAAACACGCAAAGAAACACACAGACAGGCAAGCAGGCAGATAGACAGACAGGAAGGCAGCCAGACAGATGGACAGAAAACCAAACAAACAATACGTAACACTAAAAAACAATGTAACACGGGAAAACAGAACAGATAAAACCGAACCGAACCAAACAAAAGAAGCAACCAAACACGAAATCAAAGAGGCGAGCTCGAAACGATTGACAGGCAAACAGACAGACAGACAAACAAAAAAACAAACACACACACACACATACAAACACAAACGCACAAACATGCAAGCAAACAAGCAACCAACAAACAATCAAACACGTCAGCAAGCCAGCCAGCAAGCAAGCCAGCAAGCAAGCCAGCCAGCAAGCCAGCCAACAAGCCAGCCAGCAAGACAGCCGGCAACCACACACACACATACAGAAACACAAGCACAAACAATCACAACAAATGACGAAACAACCACACAAACGGAAAAAAGGGAAAAAAGAAGAAAACTAACAAACCAGTAAACCAACCAACCAACAAACCCACCGACCCGCCAAACCACAAACCCAACAAATTAACAAGCAAGCAAGCAAGCAAGCAAGCAAACAAACAGGCAGACAGACAATTAGCGAAACAAAACCAACCACACCAAACCAGCAAACATACAACACAAACACAGAAACAGCCGACAAACAGACCGACAGACAGACATAAAGACAGAAAGGCAGAATGACAGCAAGACAGAACGTCGAAAAAAAAGGCAAACAAAAACAAAGAGGAGGAGCGAGAGAGAGAGAGAGAGAGAGAGAGAGAACGGACAGACGGAGAGAGACCAACAAACAGAGCGACAAACGACAGACTGGCTGGCAGGCAGGCAAGCAGGCCAATAAACCAAGCAACAAACCAAACTCAACCAAGCCAAACCAACCAACCAAGTAGCCAGGCAAGCAAGCAAACAAGCAAACAAAACAAACGCAGACACCAACAAGCAAACAAGCGAATGAACAAACAAACCACCAAACAAACACAAAAACACAGACACGGCAAACAACACACACACATGACAAACATAACAAACCAAAAACAACACATACAAAACAAACAAAGGTTCACACAAGCAAGCAAACAAGCAAGCAATCACACAAAACAAACAAACAAACAAACAGACCAACAAACAAACAGACCAACAAACAAACAGACAGGCAAACAGACAAACAAACGCCGAAGCAAACAAACGAACGAACGAGCAAACACAAAATAAGCAATCAATTAATTACTTCATCGACCAATCAGTCAATCAGTCAATCAGTCAATCAGTCAATCAGTCAATCAGTCAATCAGTCAATCAGTCAATCAGTCAATCAGTCAAACAAACAAACAAACAAACAAACAAACAAACAAACACGAACACAACAAAAACAAACATAACAATAAGTTATAGACAAACAAATGGACAAACAAATGGACAAACAAATGGACAAACAAACAAACAAATGGACAAACAAACAAAAAAACAAACAAACAAACAAACAAACAAACAAACAAACAAACAAACAAACAAACACACAGGCAGCCAAGCAGCAACCATCAGAATGCAACTAGTCAAAATCACTCCCACTAGTTGGAAACCTGATGAAAGAGACCCTCAAGGGGGGCTCAGGGAGAGGATGTGTCCCTGCCAGAGCCTGCTGCTGATCTTTCTTGGCGGCTGAGGCTCGCACACAGAGGCCTCGGCGTACAGCTGGGGAGTCATTTTGATGCAATCCGGTGTGACGTGTGTGGCGTCTGGGGAGGTGGGGTTTGGTGTGTGGGATTTGGGGGGGGGGGGGGGTCTTCCGGGAGTGCGTTTCCTGTTCGCCATTTTGGGCTGCTCCAGCCAGCCGAACAAAGCTCCAAAGCATTCAGCGCGGTCATGACGACTGAATGTCCAGCCCTATGTGGCTGAGGCTCACAAGATGGTACCCAAAATGGCACCTCGGTCTATGGATGAAAGACTGAACCTTGCGTAACCCCGCTGTTTATTTTCGAGCCACATTCACGTGCGTGCATGGTAGCAATCAACAGGGTGAGCGCGCTTGTGTGTGCGTGTGTGTTTGTGTGGGTGTGTGTCCTGTGTGTCTGTGCGTCCATAGTGTGTCTGTGCGTTTGTCCGGCATCCCTGCGAAGATTCTCAGTGCGAAATGAAGACAGCCAATCAAGTGCAAGGCAGTTCCAGAACAAGTTGAAGCCGACACCCATCAACGGACTTACACCACCCCTGATCTACCTACCAGGCGACAGCATGATTGGGCCAGCTGTCCTGCTCTCATGGCCGGATCAAACTAGTTGGAGGCTTATGCAATGAAATTTCGACAGGCGCGTCCCTAGTTTGATACGCAAGCCATAGACTAAGCTACATGGGGGGTGCTTTGCGTACTGCTCATTGGAACTGCGGGGCAGGATCACTTCTTGCCCGCAGTGGTGCGCTGCCTAGGTAATGACCAGCAACTCTTGCAGCACTGGATGAACCATCGCGCCTCGGAAAATAACATCCCCTCACCAATTTCCATTCCATTGAGCGTCCCTGGCCTATTTGCACTCACAATTTTCCGGTCATTATATCCGTAGAACTGCTATGTCTTGTCTACCTAAGTCGAGAAGTTACCATGTGCCGGCTTCAAACTTTGCGCCCTCACGCCCCCACCTATCTGCAAAGCTTACACAAATTCCAGCCCTGAAGTAATTGAGATAAGGGATCTCCAAGTAAAGGAGCCGCGGGACCCCAAGGTACTCTCCAAAACCATACACCTTGAAGAAAGCCCTGCACCACACCCAAACATGACCCAATTACCTGATCGAGGTATTAGTTCCCAAACTAAACTTGCTTTGCCAACATGGTGGCTGATGGGCTTTATGGCTGATCGACCCAGCCTCTTAGTGTTTGAAGTTGCACCCAAAAGAAAAGGGCCCAGCCCCAAGCACTAATCGGCGTGGGGACCCCTATGATAATTATTCTGCATCTACCAGGTTGAGGGCACCAATGTGCCGAATTAGCACAGGTCCGAAGAGAAGATTGAATTCTCGCCGAACGGCCAGGGCCCCTTTTTGGCAAGCTTACGAAAGGAAATTGAAGGGACGCTGGCATATGCAGCTCTCATGCGCTTGGACGCAAGCCGGCGCAAACGAACTGCAGCGCGTCTCCTCAGATGATGGGGTGGTCGGTGGTCTCGTTGGCCCTCCAAACATGTGCCACACTGGGTTGTTCAAAATGAGAGAGTCCCGATTTTCCTCATCCGTAGGTAATGGGGCGCAACTACAACGAGACCATCTGATTCTTGCATAAACAATGAGGATTGGCTTTGAAGGACCCAGCCAACTTAGCAAGTGGAACCCCATTCCATGTCAACGTCCCAGCCAGAAATGGCCACTGTCGAACACAAGACGCAGCCACAAGGCATGGCAGTCGTTGAAAGAAAGAGGCGCAGGAAACACCTGCTGCAAGTCGAAGGGAAGATTCTCATGGCGTAAGCTCTGCGCCTAAAACGTGGGCATGGAAGCCATCAACCACCCGAGATGTGCGTTTTATGATGTGTGGAGCCCTTCTGTTGAACACGGGGTGTGGAAGATTCAGGAACCAGAAAGGGAAAAAACCTAGGTCCCACAACCCAGGAGGGGTTCTCAGAAAATTGAGTGGTTCACACCATGACAAGCATTTGGAGTTATGTGCTATCGTTTGGACATGCGAGTGAGGCAGCTGCGTTCGCTTTCTGGGCGCCTTCCATTCGCAACGGACAGACCTGTTCATCGCCGGCTTTGAGGCGTTAAAAGGGCGGGAAGTCGTTGAAGAGTCTGAAGTGCGCCCACTTGAAGGCGATGTAGAGGATGCTGAAGAACGCCAGGTATCTGCCTGCAAAGGTGTCCACACCCTCCAGGAAGTCCTTGAGAATGCCTGCGAACACCCCATAGCCTTTGCAAATGCCCCCGAAGATCGCAACGGGAGCCGATGGGGGCGGTGGCGGCTCCGTCTCCTCTTCCTCCTCCTCTTCTGCTGCAGGCATGCCTGCAACAATCTGGTCCCCTCAAGTGCAGTGACACTGTCAAAGCACCCGAACTAAATGCCCGTTCAAAGGAAACCAGGCCCCCAAAGTCATTTTGAGGAGCAGTTCAAATGCAAGCTTATGAGTTTTGAAACCGTCCCAAACGCGGCGGGCTTGTGCTTCTCAAGCTGGAGCGAACCTGCGCGCCTGGCCAGTTGATCTGGATCAAAGGGGTCTCTTTGGGCTTCTTCTCCGGAAGGATCCAATAGCCGACAAGCCGTAATGGCGCACCCACCAAGATGTCGTGGTAGATGCCTGGTGGGTGGGGTGGGTAAGCACGCACTTGACCTAGGGATTCCGCTTGGGTGGAAGGCGTCTGCATTGACTCTTCAAAGGAAACCGGAAGCAACAGGGTCCAACTAGTTTTGCCGCGAGCCAGCGTTCACCCAGAAACGCGTGCCGTACTTGCCAGCCAATCGCTCATGGGGACCTCTGACAACATTTCACCAACAAGGCAATTGGTGGCAGGGAACGGGAGCCAAGATTGCCCAACCCCGCCTAGCACCGACAAAATCTTGGTGGTGCCGAACAGGATGAAGTTCAATGCCACTGCAAAGACTGTGCCGGCGATTACTGTGTCGATGGTCTCGTGCAGCGGCAAGATCCATCCAATACCTTTGCGTTGCCTCACTTGGCCCGGATTGGACCTCCATGCCAAACAATTGAGCCTTTGGGCTCTGTTCCTGAAGACTGCCAAAAACAACAAACAAACAAACAAACAAACAAACAAACAAACAGAAATGACCGTATGCTGAAAATGAGCACACTAAGAAATCTACCCTCGGATTCACCTGGAACCCCAAAACCATCCATGTTTCGAGGACCCATGCAAATTGGCGAAGAGAAACAACAAGCCCAAGCGGTTGGTTCCCTTTCAGTCGAAGGGCACGAAGGGCACGATGGCCTCATAGACAAATGACTCCAAGACGCAAATTTCCAACCTCACCCGAAGCAAGGCCTCGATGGCCAAAGGCCTGGCTTGGAACCCAGGGCCCCAAAAGCCATGGGAAATTCAGGGCACTGGAGGCCTGGGAGAAGGCCACACAACTCGGAGCCAACTGGCCGCAGTTGAGGCGACCCAGCGACCCCAACTGGTTGAAGCATTCTGCAGTTCTCAAACATTCTGGGCATCGTGACTCCTGAATATTGGGAAAGCTCATGGAGGTGTGACCGTAAACACGGCCATTCCGGAGGTGCCCTTATCAACGGCCTGTTTCTGTTTCGGCCTGTGCGTGCGCTCCTACCTGAACCTATTGGAGGATGGAACAAGATCCAGGCATCTGCTTATTTTACCTCGGGAACACTGTCAAACTGGGGCTGCCGAGCCTCTTCGTGTATCACGAGTCCGGGGGCCCCCAAACAACACTTCAATTTGATGTTACGCACTCACAAAACAATAGGGTGCAAACCGTTTCTCCGGACCAACCATGCTGAAAGGGCCATTACGAGGATAAGCGGTACTAGCTTCAAACCTTCTGCTACAAAACCCACGCCAAACAAAGCAACAAATACTTACACCAGGTGGCGCATGAAAAGATGTTTAGATTGATATTTGCCACTCTAACAAGCCTGGGATGGTTGATCCGACAGCCACATGCCTTGGCCCAACCCCAGGGTAACCGCCAGCAATTGCTATATTCATTCATGTTTTGCCAACCTTAAACATGAACACACTCATGAACAAGCACATGATATAACTAAAATCAGCACATACGTATGCAAACCAATGCACCACTACACCAAACAAAATAGGACAAACACGAACAACACAATAAAGTAGTATGCAACAAACAAGAACATGCATAGATATACAAACAAATAAGTAATACGTACATACATACATACATCACTAAAATACATGAATACATCAGTAAGTAAAATAAACGTGCTTGAACACCAAACAAAACATCTGGAAGACCCCACATTTGACCACGCAGGCCTGTACTCCGCGCCCTCTGCGCCCAGCAATCCGTCTGCTGCAGCCTTGCCCAAGCCGTACAAACCATCGCTGGCCGGACAAACGGGCCTGGCCCATTGGGGAAGGAACCGCGGAAAGCGAATCCCCCAGTCCAGTCTTGGACTGCATCAGTCGCGCATCAAGGGCCAGCCTTTGTTTCTTGAAACCCTCTGGGGGGTATCTTGTTCATATAAACGGGTAAGAGCAGAGTCAAAATGCATATGCCCTGGCTGCTTCTGTGGACCTGCTAGCTCTTTCTGCTTTACTGTCCTAGTTGCTTGGCATTTCCGTGACTTTTCACCATGCAAGGTTGGCTTCCGAGATTCCGAGTGAATGCCTGAACCAGGCCAGAAGTCAAGCTCTACTTTCCCCCGATACTTGCCTTAATGCTGCAAGCTTGCATGTTACTTCCCAAACAGCTGAGGAAAACCTGCTAATGGAACCTTTCTCAGGGGTCCCTTCTGTACAATCTGTGAGTTACTACCGAAGAGGTGCTAAAAACATTTGGCAGAACATGCCACGCAATGAACACTCTCAGGGGCGGGTGTCCCCACCCACAAGAGTTTCCAAGTGCCAACTACATGTCACCAATCCCCTTTCGCTTCCTTCGACAATTATGGCTATTTGGGGGGGAGGGGGGGGGAGGGCACGCTTTTTGAGGGCACCTTTTGGCGCTCGCCCCCTTTTTACCGTTCATGTGCCTGAAGGTTTCTGGCGATAGGTCCGCACCACTGCTGAGTGCCAGGTCCTGCGCGTGCGCGCTGAGACTTAAGCCGCCCGCCACAGCGCCGGCAGCCCAGCTCAAGGCTTTTTCCTCCGCTCACAGATTCACTTCTAGCCCAGAAAGCCCACTTTTACAGGATTATCCCCCCTGTTTTGGGTTTCATGATGGTTTGCAGGGGACAAGGTGCACCTGCATTGCGCCACGGCGTCGCCATTACATATCGTCCAACAAGGAGTTACTACCTCCGCAAGGGTTTCTTGGCCGACCAACTTAAATGACTGATAGGTACTTCGCGTTATTTCTTGCATATTTGTTGCAAGGATGCCTTCGGCCGGCTGGAAGGCTGGAGAGATGGACGGTTGGAGAGCTGGAAGGCTGGCGAGAGCTGGAGGGTTGCCCCGCAGCTTGGCGGGCACGCAGTTCCGCGCGCTTTGGCAAACAAAGCAAGCACGACGCAGCTGCGGGCAAGGGCAAAAGTTTTTCTACGTCCTGTGTTTGGGAGAAGGGATTAATCAACTAGTTCATACTACTTCCAGTATTCCAGGGCCCGTGAAAGTGGCCCTTCAAATATCCGACTTAAGAAAATGCTTTTACACTGCCTCCCAGGCCCGAAGCCCAGGCTTGGCTGCACACAATTAAATGTCGTCACCGCGGGGTCATGACGCCCTAAGCACAAGTCAACACAAAATAGGACCTGCCAAAGGGCGGTGAAATGCAGCAAAGACTCATGTGCTGGCTTGGGCGGCGGCACAAAGGAACACGCCATGCCAAAAGCCCCCGCTGCCAGAAGTGCCGCCACCCTCGCGTGGCGGCGCCCGAAGGCGCGTGGGGCCCTGAAACGCGGCATGGCTCAAATGTACCGACGCCGCAGCAAAGGCGCACGGAGGGCCAAGCAGCTGCAACAAGAGGACTGAGGCAAGCTGAACTGTACTCACATGCAAGCAGTCCAAATGTCACACAAACACAAACACAAACACACAGATACAACTGCGACAAAGGCCTGATGTATGATGTATGCATCCAAAGGTAGAAAGGCAAGTGCCTAGTGGTATGAAGAACCGTGGGGTATCGTTTTTGTGGGGATTCTTCTCGCATTGCTGCCTCTGGAAAAACCTGGGGTGCTCTGGTCTGCAGTAAGCATGGTGTGAATGTGCAGCCATGCCCCGGTGCATTTCCGATGAGTGCATCGAGGCCGTGTTTCATGCACTCATGCCAGTCTGCTGATGGAGCCCCCAATTGGTGAGGGCTTCCCATAGCGATTCAAGTAGGAAGCCCATTTTGTTTGAAGGCGGGGTCCCAGGATTTTTCAAGGGCGAGCGTAAGCGAACTTATGTTGGGTGAAGCCCGGTAGACACACCGAACGACCAAGGGTTCAATCCGGGCAGTGACGCGCCTTCCGGCGGGCTTCAATTTCCATGGCCCTGATCCAGTTGAAACGGGCTGCATGTCCCTGCTTCAGAATCAGAGGTCAAGAACAAGTAAGCTGCAATTGCACTTCCTGAAGTTGATCATAAATCAAAAGGACAAAAGACAAGTTAACCATCAGCGGTCTGTGAGCTGTTCCCTTCTGCATCCATGCGTCGGTCAGCTTCTCCTCCGTTCGGGCAGCAGCCTGCTGCAGAACATGCTAGCGGCAGCGATGCGACAGGGCTCGCATGACACAAGAAAGGATCGACGAGTAAAACCGGGTGATGCTGGGACAAAAGTTTAACGACCACAGCCCTCAACGGTGGGCCGGGGGGGCGGGGGGGAGAGCAACCCTCTCCCCACTTTCAACCGACCGCTGGTGCATTGTGATTGGTTGTGGCACTTGTGTATGTATTCCATTGCTTACTTCGCTTGACGCCAGCCCTTCCTCGCAGCCCTGTGTCACCACAGCGATTCTGCATAAACAAGTTTGCCCTCGTTGCTTTGGCACTTGGATATGATGAGGAGGCCGTCCAAGCAGCTTGAACAACTAACAGCAACTAACTGAGGGTGACCCGAAGGACCCGCGGTTCTCTCTGTGCAAACGCTCAAGGCAGTTGAGTGTTAAATAGCCAGTTCGAAATCTCGGGGAGGCCAATCACAATCCAAAATCCGCTCAAGTTCCGGTTGGTAGTCTTCTTAATCCAGAATCCGCGCTGCTGTTGCCAGTGCTGTTGCTCACTTTTCCTGCGCCTGCCACACAAATTCACCGGAATCTGCGCACACCCAAGGACAAACACAAATCATGATAAAAACTCAAAACACAAAAACGTATGCTGGAGCAACCCGCAATCCGCACAATCTAGTCCGCACCCCGCATAATTCGCAAATCACTAATCATTGAAACTTCGGCTTCTTTCAAATGGACGAATGCCACACAAGCGTCGAAAGCTGTAATCCTGAGACCAGGGATGCTTTTACCTAGAGGTCCCCGCCACAGTGGTTTGACACCTTCTCGCACCCAGCCAGCATCCGCCAAGGGCCCCCCGCCCACCTCCATGCTGAGTTGTTCCAGCACTGGGGTCATGTACTTCTCAATGGATCTCCACACCACCTCCTCCTGACGCACGGCCCGACTCCCGACTCCAGCCACGGGCCTGCCAAAACAGCGGGAACACTAGGGAATCCTTTTCTGTACACTTCCAATGTGGAACTGGTTCTTGCAAAACAATGGTCTGCTACATACTGGTGGCAAGCTATTCAACAGGTTTCCAACCCAATCTTGAGGGCACGGGTCCCAAGCCATTGCCCCCCCCCCACGCCGGCTTTCTATGCTTGCCTCCACGCGTCGGGCTTGCTCCTGGCAATGGCCAGGCTGGCACCCATGCTTTTCCGTGTTCCATGACTCCCCCTAGCCCCGAAATCCTGTGATGTAGAAGCCTCACTCAAGAGCAAACGCTTTAGCCGCTGGTTGCCTTACGTGGATCACTGGTGGCTCGTGCCAAGCAACCTCTTTGCTCCTGGCCAGGCCCCAGTCCTTCCAACAAATGTCTCAGCCACCATCGGGTGTGGGCCAGTTTGCCTCAAACATATAAGCCAAACCGATTGGTAATTCGATCCGTTCTTCTCATGCTCGCAGAGTGGAGTTCATCGGTTGGCGCAAACCTCTGAGTACAACAGACATCACCAACCTTGTGCGGCCCCCTTTGGCGCTCGCCTGGATTTTATTTGTGGTGCCCAGCTGGAGGGGAAGATGCTCCTCTTGTCACTGGTATTTGTCAAGGAGGTTTCTTATCCACTCGAATCGAACAACGCGCAGATCAGGCAATGGGATGCTCAAGGTCAGATCCATCTATGCCAGGGATTAGGCATGAAGCCAAAGGCAGCCAAAATACGCCCCGGCCCAAAAGATTCAAGCTGAGAAAAAGAGGCCCGCAAGGATGGAAGCGCAAGGCTGTCTAAAGAATGGCGTGCAGAGCTTGCTCAATATTGCCATCCTTATCCTTAAGAGTTCGTGTGACCCCAAACTTGTCCAACACCTCCAATGCCTCCTAAAACGCCCCCGGGTCTTTGAAGAGAACGGAGCACTGTATCGCGCTGCAAGCCTGGAACTTCAATTCCAGCTCTTGCCGCAAGGCCTCGCGCCCGAGCCAAAGCAGGAACTCATCAAACTTGCCCCGACCCTGAGGAGAATCCATGCGCCGCGGGGGAGGGAAAGGGGGGTGGGGGGTGGGCAACATTTGTTCGGCCTGACCTGAGCCGATTCAACGATATGCCCAAGACGCCCAACAGCTCAAAAGAGCTCAGTTTTGAGAATGCCCAGTTACGCATCCTAAATGACATGCCGCACAACTGAACATTGGGTGTTCGCCTTGACAGGTGATCCAAAATCCTTGCCCAACACAAGCTGTCAAATGGCCACCATAGCCCAAAAAGGAGGTTCATTACTCGACAAAGCATTCCTTTTGCATAATTCCACAAATGAAGCAACCTCAACAATAATAAGTAAGAGTTGGTCGCCCAATCACAGGTCAGCTTGTATTACACTCCGCCAAACATGAGGTTGCCTAGTGATGCCTCGCGCGGGCAGGTGCAATCTTGGATTATCCTGCACCTGACGTTAGGTTCCATTTTTGTGGAAGGGCCTGACGATCTCCCCTTCACCACAGCTTCCATGGCCCATTGCAGGCGCACAAGCTTGCAACCTCACCTGCCGCATATCTTCTCCTCAGCGAAGAACAAACAAGAACTGGATCTTCGGTTCTCTTGTCGAACTTGGCACAGCGTCTGCAACCCCCCTCGGGATGAGCAATCGGCGGCCTGGATTTGAAGCCGCCCACATAAAAATGGTGTTGGGTTTAACCCCAAGCGCGCCGTCAGCATTCTCAGGGGTCTTGCTCACACACACACACACATGCGTAGCCCACAAAGGAGCAGGCTGTTCTTGTGTGGGTCACTCTTGCCCAAGCCAGGATCTCAATGGCAATGGGACGCTTCAATGGCTTTTAATCATGGTGGTCAACTCATCTCGGCAAAACCCAAACTGCCAGACAACCCCGTACTTCCGCGTCAACGTGCATGAACATGCCTGGAATCGTCTGAGTACATCCGACCGATCTGAGTAAAAAATCCCGTCTCAGATTTTCAACGAGCATGCTTCGCACGATGCCACCCAACCCTCAAAAACCAGGTCCGTCCTCGATTTCCCTCTGAAACCTGGCAGATAACCTAGGCTGTGGCGCTCTCCCTTTTCACGGCCTGATTTGTGGTTGCAGCAGTCTGGCCATGTTTGTGCTCACTGTGATTGCAATCAGGTCAGGGATGATGTTCCTTGATTCTTGCCCAAATGAGCTCGCCAACTTGCACAAATTGTCAGGTTGCCAACCTAGGCAGGTGTGACTGAAGTGCAAAACTCGTGACAAAGGGGTCAAAGTGCCAACATCCCCGCACTTCTGTAAACCAAGCAGTGGTTGGTAGTAATGAAGGCTCCCTCCAACAGGCTTCATGTGCTTGACTCGTACAGTTTTGCACCATATCCACGTTTTTCTTGGGCATGTGCTTGTTCCGAGGGAACAAGCGAGCACTTTTCAGAGGTGTCTTCTTGTGTGTCTTCCAAATGCTCTGGCCGGGGCTTGCTAGTGGAGGTTCATGCTACATCCGTCCCTTGCATGCTCAAGCGTGGAAGGCTTTTGGTCCTCGATTTTCGCTTTCCCCATGGGTGCTATCTTTCGGTGATCTTTCCTAGCCCAATGGGTCAGCCTTACAGGTTCTGACATGCACCAGTTTGCTTCATGGGTTTGGATCCCTGCAGGGTTTCCCGCTGGAAAAGGAACATTTCAACATCCTCTACCCTCGTGGTTTGGACAAGGAAAGCAAGGAACGTTGGTTCAGTCGCCTGGAAGTTCGGAGCAACCCCTGGGGCCAAGGCTCAGAGTGTCGCGGAGTTGGAGCCTAGCACTGGGCAGCGTTGTTCTAACTCGCAAACTGGAAATAACAAAGGACGCCTCTAGGAAGCTATGAGCTGGTTGATCCCCGTGGCTCGCTGTAATGTGCCCAGAAAGATCAAACCCCTCCTCCTCCTCCTCCGTCTTTAGCCTTGAGCCTGGTTTTGGGCCTTGGGGGCCTTGGGGGGAGGGGGAGCTTTGGATCCTATGACGGCGGAGTGCAAAGGCGGGCGAGCTCAGCCCAACACATATCCCAGAAAAGGCGTCAGACCATGCACCAAACAAGCCAACATAGGACCACCTTGCCCCAACATGTTGCAAATGCGACAAAGCGTTCCCAAACACTAGGATAACTTCGCCCTTAACACTAGAAGTCGTTCATAAGCCAAGATTCCCTCAAGCATCTTAACTAGGCGGCAATGAATCAGGCCTAATATGAGCGCTGCCTCCCCAAAGAACGCCCTGGGCTGGTGTTTCCAGAGTCGATGACGCTTGGTCCACTGCAATTGGCAAACTGGACCAGTGCGAATGGTTGCAATGGGATTACAAGGGCTTGCATCGATGCGACGAATCCTGAGGCGATGCTTGAAACCACCCCAATAAACTTGTCAAACCAACAGCAAGCCGGAGTCTAACCCCAAGGCCTTCCTGGTCTCTCAGCATTGCCGAGCGCCAGGCAGTGCTTGCCAGGCGGCTCTCCAATGCCAAGACCCTGCCAAGGATTCAGGCCATGAAACGGAGGGACCACAACGACAGCTTCCGCCCCAACCCAAATGCAATTTGATTCCGGGCAATACATAGTAAACCTGACACAATCACACCATTCAAAAGACATCCCGGAAACATGACTGCCGGAAACATGACTGCATGTTTGTCGCCCAGCTATGCATAAGGCACTCCGCATGTGATTCTGACATGTCATGCTGCGAGCCGCTACTCGATCGTCAAACGTGTTGCCCGAAAATGGAAACAGCTGGGAGCAGCATCTCCAGCCGAAGTCTGCCAGAGCGTCCACCCATTCTGGTGTAGAGTTCAAACAAAACTACGAAACCCTCTCGGAAAGCAATCTCTATCATGGCTCTGGTTGTGCTCTTCTGAGCCTGGCATGTATACCGATAGCTTGAGAAATGGCACGCCTGGCTTCCAAGGCAGCAAGCCTTTCCTGGCGCGCGCGCATTCGTCTGAATCAGCCGGGGTGGGTACGGATGCGCCAAAGTGATCCGCCTAAAGGAGGTGAGTGACAAGGTTGGGGACGACCGGATGCCCAGGGCTGCTGGGACATAGGCTTGGCATCCCTTCAAATCTGAGCACACAAAGTGTAGGTGTTTTCAAACTTTTCCCTTTATAGGAATCTGGTGGAGATAGATGAATTCAGCAAGTGGGCCCGTCTGGAGCAAATTAGGCACACCTTGCAGCCCGCAAGCTTCAATACCGGTGGCTTTTGGTGTTGGCCCCTCGGCACCCGACGTCCTCTTGCCAAGAATCATTGAAGTTCATAGGAATGCACAGGAGGCATTTGATAGAGGCATTTGAGGAGCCACTACTTGACTGTTGGAAAAGGGCAGTAAGCCGGTCCCAGTCTGATGCCACAAGATGGATAGCCTGCTGCCCCGCCTCTTGCTTCCGCGCAATGGGAGTCTGACCTCGGTACCCCGCTTGCAATGCCTTTAGGCCCGGCATCTTGTGGATGTGAAACAAAAGTCGTGTGTTGGAGGCATGGAACAACAAAAGCGTGGATCAAAGGGCCGCGCCCTGAAATGACCCTGGCAAGAAACAAAAGGGCCCCTTTGTGAACTCTTAGAAGAGCGGCAAGCAAACAACTTAAGAGCGGCAAACAAACAACTTGGAACAGGCTGGCCACTGCTTCAGGTTGGCCAAGCCATGCCAGCCAATCCAAACACTCAGCAGCCTTCTGGCTCCTGCCCTCCCAAACCTTGGCAAAGAACCGAGCCGTGAGAACCAGGGCGCCAAACCTCGAAGGGATTACATGTGCAGGCTGCCTTGGACTTGTTGCCACTGGAGCCATGAATGGCAACATGTCACCAACACGGGGAGGGATGGGATCTAAATAAAGTCGACCAGTCCCTTCCACAGATCCAACGCAGCAGGTACATTATTGCTGGACTGAGTCATGAGCCACTGAAGCCATGTAACCAAGTGAGTGACAATCAAACCCGGCAAAAGAGCCCACCCAAAAAACAGCCGGGACCCCCTTTACAAAGCACATCTATGAAACTTTGTCCCAAGTGGCACTCAAAAGGGGCTTTCCACGAGGTGTCAGCAGAATGTTGTTGCCTGTCAACCCATTGAGGAAGCCATCTGCTGATTTCCGTCTAGGCCAAAGCCACACGCGCACACACGCGCACACACGCGCACACACGCGCACACACACGCACACGCACACACACACACACGCACACGCACACGCACACGCACACGCACACGCACACGCACACGCACACGCACACGCACACGCACACGCACACGCACACGCACACGCACACGCACACGCACACGCACACGCACACGCACACGCACACGCACACGCACACGCACACGCACACGCACACGCACACGCACACGCACACGCACACGCACACGCACACGCACACGCACACGCACACGCACACGCACACGCACACACACACCCACACACACACACGTGCGCTTTGGACCATTCCCGCTATGCAAGTCTTCTGTTTAAGGTTGAAGGTTGCCCTTCATTGTCCCATGTAGCTGCACTAAATGGAGCACCTCCGGCACTGATGTTGGGAAGGTTGAGTTTGTGCACGCATACATGCGCGTACACACAAGGTGCTATTGTCCAAACTTGATGTCAATGTATAGACGCACTGACCAAACGCCTTCGTGGTGCCGTGCTGCGTATGATGAGCTTAGCCATAGGCAATTTCTGCAGCCAAGGCACGACCATTCTCCGCTGAGCTTGCCGCATCTTTCCGAGTGCTTGGGACCGGGGAACACGGGGAGCGCCTGGGACTGCTGCTTCTCTCGCGAGCCTCGAGCGTAAGCGCGGGGTGGGAAAGGCCCTAAACTTGTCACGAAACTTGTCACCTCCAAGTTAAGGCAAGGAGTTGAGGGCTTTCCAGCTTGTAGCAACAGGCGAAATCACTCAAGTTTGCCCGCACAATGGCTCTTTGAAAGAAAGGTTATGTTTCTGGTTGATCAGCCTTTGCCTCACCCGAATGGAGTGGCTCACAGCCGCAACCCAAGAACCGTTGGAGGGCTCAGAACAACAACATTTGTCACTTGTAGAGAGAAGCACGGTTTTAGGTAGCAGCAACCCAGCTAGCTGTCTATTTCTGCCGGGGGTTAAACAAACAAAGCAAAGTTGCTCCGGAGACACTTCGCAAGGGTAGGTTGTTGGTCCCTAGATGACAAGACCAGCAGAAGGACCCAGTACAATTGTTGCTCGGAGCTTGCTGAGTCCGCGGCACTTCTTTGGATCCGCTCCGCCTGGTGGGGCAGGAAAACAGCGAAACCATTCGCCTCCCCTGAGGACTTGAAAGGCAAACCAAACCAATACATCCGTTGCCAGTCATGTGTGTGCATGCATTGAAAGCAAAACGTTAAACTGGCGCTCATGCAAAAAGAGGTTGACACATGACCACGTGAAAAGTCCCGGCAGGGCAGGGAGTGGATCAAGATAAGGGCAACCTAAAAACAACCCTGCTACTACTCAAAAGGTTATGAAGCTTGGCAGGAAGGTATTCCCAATGCTTCAACACAAGCTTTGTCTGAAACAGCCGCAAACCTTATATCTCCGTGTCAGTGGCCGGGATGAGACGAATGTGGAAAGCAGAGCTGGCAGCTCACTTGCGCAAAGAACATGGAACATGGACGCAAAGGGTCAACGTGTGAAGATCGTGACTAAAAGTAGGCCAAGCCAAAAAAGAAACACAAGGACAAAGGTTGGCCTTGGGCAACTGAGGTAGGGAATCGCACGCCTCGATTCGCGCGCCGCAGTAGCCGCAGTAGGGGTCTGAAGCGCCGGTCCGTGCGCCGCACTTCAGGCATGCCTGACCGGTCAACAGCCCCACAAAGTTGTGAAGAAGAGCTGTCGCAAGTACCATCGCCTAGGATGATGAAACAATAACCACGCCGGCTCTTGGAACATCACCTTTTGGACCTGATCTCGAAAAGCAAGCGTTGGCTGCTGCCTTGCGAACCCAAACATCCTGATGCCACCTCCATGGTGGCATGGCTTTGCCCTATACATTGCATGCACGAAGCAAAGGTTCTTCTGCACAATGTCTGCCACGAGCCCGAGAAGCACGACCAAAGGAACCCATTGCACTTTAGCTGGCTCGGCCATGCTGACCAACAAATCAAACCCAAACTGTGCGCCGGCAGGCTCTGAGCCCATCCAGGCAATCCCTGCGATGCCTGCGTACAGAGGGTGCAATAAGCTATTCACAATTGTCCACACTTCGCCGCTCAGCAACCCTGCATCAAGAGTGCTTTTAGTGTTGGCTTTTTGTTGGGATTCAGTTGGACGCAAAGTGACCAAAAGCTGCCACCGAACATGAGCTTGCTTTGCCCTGGTATGACCACGAAAACTGTGCAAATCGCTTTGCAGCAGGTGGGGCAGATGCACTTCCTTCCCAAATCGGAGAATGCGCGGGCAGGCACATTTTGTCCCAGGAAACTCTTGAGGACCACTTATTAGAGTCCCATGCCTGGAAGAAACAAAATCGCGAACCCGCCAACCACCAAATATCGGCCTACGCCTTAGCCCGCGAGGCCCTGAAGTTGCGCCTGGACCTCTTGCACCTTGCGGCTCGCCTGGGGTCTGTCTGCAGTGAGCGCAAATGTGAGCAAAATACTAAGTCAGGAATTGGAAACAGAAACAGACCTTCTTCATAATGAGGTGACTTTGTTGGAACCTCAGGTGAGCTTGTCATGATCTGGCTAGGTGAATGCGGCCTGTGGGTGCTGGAAGCTGTTGAGGTATGGCAGCACTGGCTGCGGATTTGCCATGTTGGGCCGGACTGCTACGAGTCGCAAAACCCCAAAAAAAAAACAGATCCATAATGTCAATGTGCAGAACATTTTGCCCCCCCCCCCCCCCAATACATGATCTAGGCGATGCACATTGCATGCCGCCGCCGTGATTGCCTCCGTCGTGATAGGCGGCGGCCTCTGGCGCAGTTGCCTCATGCGTCAGACCGGAAAGCAACTCCTCAGCATGCTGAGCTTGAAAGTTTCAGGCAAGGACAGCACTGGGCAATGGATCTCCGAAATACTGAATTGCCACTCAAGCAAGCAAGCAACCAACCATTCCAACAAATCGATCCAGCAAATCCAACCAAAACAATTAAATGAACCAAATCATCCAACCCAGTCAGAACAATCAACGAAAGCAAAACAACAACATCAACCAAATTAGTCAAAGTAATAGAACACAATCGAGCTAACCAAATCTGGCAGAAACAAAATCAGCCAAATCACTCGAACAGTAAACTCACCCAAATTAGTTTAAACAATGAAACCACTCAATAATTCAATTCAGATCAAACACAATTCAACCCGAACCCATCCAGCCAATCAATCAGATCAAGTCAGTCAAATCAAGCAACCAACCAATCAATCAACCAACTCAAATCAACCAACCAACCAAACCAATCAAACCAGTCCGCCAAATTATTCAAACCAACCAAAGCAAAGCAACAACTCGACCAACCAGCAAGTCAACCAAACCCTTAACCAACCAAACAATCAGTCAGTCAGTCAATCATCCAATCAATCAAAACAAACCAATCAAATCAATCAATCAATCAATGAAATCAATCAATCCATCAATCCAATCAAACCAATCAAACCAATCAAACCTTATCAAATGAAGTCAAATCACATCGGATCGAACCGTACCAATTAACCAACCAACCAGGCAACCAACCAATCAACCAAGCAATCAAATCAATCAAGCAATCAAATCAATCAACCTCAATCAACCTCAATCAAATCAATCAATCAATCAATCAATCAATCAATCAATCAATCAAATCAATCAATCAATCAATCAATCAATCAATCAATCAAATCAATCAATCAATCAATCAATCAATCAATCAATCAATCAATCAATCAATCAATCAATCAATCAATCAATCAGTGAAGCAATGCATGAACAAACACATGAATGAACGAATCAATCCAACGATACACATCAACTCAATCAAATCTCGAATCACTCAACTCAATCGAAACAATCAACTCAATCAAAGGAACCAACACAACCAAGTCAATCAGAGTTTTTAAAGCAACAATCAAAGCAACAAGACAATAAAAACAATCAAAACAACCAGAGCAAGCAAATCAATCAACACAACCAAGTCAACCAAGTCAACAACACCAACCACATCCTCGACAGCTCCTCACATCTTTATGTCAGCCTGGACATGCCCCCCTTTGCTTAACAACATGTCAGGGCACGCATGCCTTCGGCGGAATTGCGTGGTTTGACATGAACTTTGCAGAGCTTTGTCAGCTGGGGCTAGCACAAACGAGACTTCAATGCGCTCTAGGGCCAAGCAACTGAAACCCAGTCATGGATCCCACATTCCCCCCTTAGCGCTGGCCAGTTCCTTGCTTGAAGGGTCACACAAAAGTCGCCTTTAGGTCGCTTGCTATTTGGGGGCTGTCGTGACTGACGCCAGTTTTTGAGCACAGAGAGCCGGGCTTCACTTCGCCTTCCAAGGCCTCAGGACTCGAAGCTGCGAAGCCTTCGTTCCATGGCACGCTGGAAAACCCTTCTAAAATGTGGGGCCCGTCTTTGTCCTGGTTCTTTGGGTTTGTACCCCAAGCTGGAACTGGAAACCGGAGAACCGGAAAGGATTCACGAGTCGCATGCAGTAGGGCGTTTCGTGAACGGCTTGGCGAAACAATCATTGACCGACGGACATCCTCAAACAAGGTGTGTGGTGGTAGATGTTTCACGTTCCATGTCACTTGGATTGCAGTCAGTCACCACGGGCCCAACTACATTATATAGCTGGCTGCAAAACATTCGAACATCTGCCGCATGAATTGTCCACCCTGGATTGAGAACCACGTATTCATCTCACACATCCAAACGTAAAATGAACTGCCTAGCCTTGGACATCTGCCCTGAAACATGGCACTCTACTCAAAGCAAGCCCAGCGGATAGGACCAGGACGGGGTCAGTCATATTGGCGTTGCACTTTCGGTACTGAGCTCACAAAGGCTTGCATTGTTCACTTCACGGGCTTTCAGGTCAAACATCCCCGGCTAAAGCAACATGATGCCCGGAAGCGGAAACACACTGAATCATGCTCAAAAGTTGGTAGGTGGCTAGTCAATAGTCTAGCCCTTGCCACCAAACAGTCACAAAGTGTCCGAATGATTCTCCACCAAAAAAGCCCCCAAACAGTCGGCCCTGACTCTTTGCGGCTTGGCTTGTCTGCCTTGGTTGGCCGAAGTCCGAACATCTGCTTTCGGAACGGTTTGAGTGCGATTTTCCACCAAGGCTGCCAAGCGTTCAATTGATGCTCCGAATGGCTGCCGCATTCCCCACCTCCAGGTAGCGAAGGGCCACAGTGACCTCTGTGTCATGCCCGTCGAACAGCACGCCACACTTCAAGGTCACCTGAGGCTGGACCCTCTTCAGGCCTTCGATAATGTTCACCCCTGCAACAACCTGGCACATTAAATGCGGGGTGTCTCCTCCAAAAGGGAAGGTTTGCGACTAAAGTGCGACCCATCAGTTTAATTTTCCTGGTACAGAATGACCTGAGGCTGGGCCTGAGGTTGCACTTCAGGAACACCCGAGGTTCGACCCCGTGGCTTACCTGCAAGAAACAATCAACACAATTACCATCAATTCCCTTTGAGGGGAAGGAATTCCTCATTCCGCGGGCGTCGCCAGTTTTAAGGGCCACTCTTCTTTTAAAAACGAGCATGGCTGAAAATAGACTTTGGCCAACATTCACCTCACCCGTGAGCCGTTTTGTGTTCAGACGGGGGTAGGATGGGGTAGGTATGGTTAGGTGCCCAGCCTAGCTTCAATGCGAGGGCTCAGCCCCCAACCCTCCGAGTCATTCGCGAGATCCTGACACAAGGCATTTTAGAACCATCAAGCAATAGGTCCCTGCTATGGAGGCAAACGAGAGCCTTTCCTCCTGGCCTCGTCTTTTGGCTTGCCTCTTGCACCAGGGGGCGCCGATATTTCCGGTCTAGTGATCTCCGTTGGGTGGTGCAGTGTTTCGAATGCCAAAGCGAGTTGGGCCTCTTCAAATGGCAACGGTGCCATGTCGGCTTCCGCCCCCTAGCACTGCGTTCAGCCTGTTATTCCACAATGGAAATCCTGGCGTCTGCCTTCACCAATTGGAAATGAGACAAAGTTGGGCAACAAACGGCGGTCGGTATGATTATGAAACGGGCCAAGGGACACTTTCTCTTTACCATGGCAAGGACACTGTTTCCACAGTTGCCCAGGGCCTAGAAAAGCATTGACATGTGTTTTCTGGGCGGGACCTTCCACTTGGGCACTTTAGGGCTCTTTGAGGCTCAGGCGTGGTCCACCCAAGTGACACGGCCCTCGTCCCCATCGCCAAAGCACTGGAAGCTTCTCCCGCTCGCCTCGGTTTCTGGCGAGGCCAGAAGCCCACCAAGGCTAAATCGCAAAACGCGAAGGCCCCGAGATGATGCCCGCACTGCCGGGACCCAGCAAAATACGTGGACCTTCAGATAAAAAGGTTGAGACTACGGTGGCTATATAGTGGCTGCATTTGCCGTTGAAACTAATGGTGGGTAGACCCCCGAAAATATAAAGCAATGCCAAACAAATACCAAACTAGCAAAAGATTAGGGCCCCTGGAGAGCAAAGCAGTCGACATCACCGTATCCCCATGGCTGCACGTACTGTGCGTGCAATGGGGATGGGGGATGTTAGCTAGATAGACATTGTTGCCCGAATCGTGGCACACCCTTCTGATTCCAAATGCTAGTGTTGTTTGGGGGAATATATGCGTCTGTTTGGGTATCTTTTGGGCTCAATTCCACCCTGGGACAATCTTACATGGTCAACACAACCAGCATCATCTCGGCTTGTCTTCCCCCACCAACAAAGCGGGAAGCCCGCGCGCACGTGCGCAGTTTAGAAGTTTACTTTGTGGGAAATTGCTTGTGCGCTCCATGTTTCTTGGTTGGAGCGCAGAACTGAAATCTACAACACCACTTTCTAAGGATGGCCCGAGGTCGCCTGAAGTGCCTGCGAACTCTCTGGTCGACATAGCGAGTGTGTCCTCTGGCTCATTCTCAACACGCCTGTCTGAGCCACTCAAGCCCACTCGTACATGTGAGCCACTGCCTTCGTTCGGTGGCTGACAATTTTGAGCGGCCTTGAATGGCCCTAGTGGCCTCCAGTGACCTACAGATCGGCGTCCCTCCACCTTGACAACATGCGCAGGTCTACTTCAACTTATGGTAGTGGCAAACTTGCTCATCGCCACCCCCCCACTGTCACCCATTGGCCACACAAACGGCGGAAACTCAATCACAACATAAACCTCCTCCCAAAGTAACAAAGTACAAGTCAACTTCTCCTTGAGGTCGCAGAGAGGATGCGTTTTGAGAGAGCCACTCAACCCGCTCAGAAACAGTTTGAGTGGCCTTGAGTGGCCAGCCTTTCAGTGGGGCTTTAAGTGGCCTTGAGCTGTTTTGAGCAGCCTTGAGTGTATCTCCGCCCCGTGTAATTTTGCTATTCCCCGCATGGAATTTGCACTGTTGTTGTTCCTTTGGCTGGTGAACAAAACTTTGAGAATTCGCCGTAGGTAGCTTCCAATGGGGCAGTCAGAGAAAAGAGGCGTCACCGAACCGACCTTTGTTTTTTTTGCAAAACTGACGCCGGGGGCATGCATGCATCTACATTTGCATATACGTATAGATTCACTTGTATATACGCACCTCAGACTTGGGCCTGTACGTATGAACAAGGGCTGTCCTTGTACCCCAGACATCACGCTGTTTTTTGCTTTCATTACATACTCAGATGCTATGTTGCGTCCACAGAAGCCTGCATCATACAGCCCATGGTTCCAAAGTGTGCGTGACTTTCTGCATGATGCCGGAGGCTAAATATTGTGTTACAGGAATTGGTTAGAGCGGATCAGGTGGCATGATATCGAGGCAAACATGCGTGATGTTTGGCAAAGCCCTGGACGGCAACCCTTCAATAGTGTCAATGATGCCCTTCAATGTTGAATTGACACATTCAACAATGCTTTGCCATGTGGATGAGGACCGAAACAATCACCCCGCCACCCCTGGACCATACTTGTAATTTTTTGGAATATTTGTGATTTGGGTGGAATATTCATTAAAGTATCGTCACAGGTCAGCAACTTGTGAGTTTGGCCAAGGTCAGCATCATACCCGCCAAGCAAAGGGTTGCAAAGCTCGCTCTAGCCCTAACTTGTCAAACCTCGGCAGGAAGGCGCCAAACTAAAATGGCTTGGATCGCCCGAGGGATGTGCAAACAAGGCCAACTCTTGCTGGTTGCTCACTTTGCGGGGCTGCCAGGGTTTTGCACCCCCTTGCAGCAAAGTTTTCCGAGGGCCCCGCTACCCTGACTGCAGCGCCCGGGAGAATTCCTCGCCAGATGGAGCAAGGCAAGCCGAAACGCAGGGGTGCTGACCCGCATCCCAAAAAAACAATGATCGAAGGCAAAAGCAAGGTTTTAAGGGCAGTTTTCTCAAATTCTCCCCAAAAATGAAAAGGGGCACTCAATGCAAGAAGGTTGCTTTCGCACGAACCAATAAAATAGGGTCCCCCTACAAATCTTCACCAACCCTGCCCCTCGACCAGCCTTCAACCCCACCTTGTTGCTGAGTATTTGTTTTCCGCTATGCCTGGAGAACCAAAACCCAGAAACAAGTCCCGACCCCAAATGCAAACTCTTTGTCCAAGCCTTCTTGACAAAGACCCAGCTACAAAAACAAAGGGAGAGTACAGCCGAGGCCCACATACTCAATCATGCGAATGGCTTGAGGTTTCACACGAAAAAACAGTCTCCTCCATGAATTTTCAGGAGGGTAACCAATACAGTGCGAAGGCACTACTAAGCAACACTATGCGAATCTTAAAGCAAACTAAACCTAAGCCTATACTGATACCAAGCCAGTACTAAACAGAGAGAACCGAGCAGGACCGAAGAGGACCGATGATAAACGCCACAAAGCAACACAGAGCAATGCGAAACAATAATAAACTTTGCAGATTAAATGCTTATCGTTCGAGTCCAGAAACATGTTCTCCTTTGACTAAACGTTGATGTCTGATATGTTCGATAGACTGCATTGGCTTCCACCCGCCAGGCATGACCATCGTTTAGTCCAGGAAACTGTCAGCAGTTGACTAAATGTTAATGCCTTCGTAGCCTACATTGGTCGCCCCCTCAGCATCACGTTTTTTTCTACAAAACTTTCTTCCGTTGACTATACGTAGATGCCCAGCACGCTCTGTTGACTGCACGTAGGGGTCGGGGCCAAACAAGCGGACTTGATACATTAGACGCACACAAACGTGCGCCAGTTTAAAAGCCTGAGAGCCTGCGCCCAGCATTTCTGAAGTTCTCCACTTTGTTCGAGACAAGAACGCACATAAATCCACTTTCCCACCTTGTCCTCCTTGCATTGGTGCATTTCTTAGAGTCCCCCGTTTTTCTTTCGCAACAAAAACAGGGGCTCTAGAAACCCTTCATTCAGCCTTGCCTTGTTTTCGGCAAAGCAAGGGGAGGAAGTCGTCGCTGGGGCGTCAGCGGAATGCAGGCGTCAAACGCATGTGAACACGGGCCGCAGTTGGGCAAATCACAAAGGTGCAAAACTTCCTTTAGGTGTCCTTTGTGAGAAAGATGTTGAAACATTCCCGAGTGTCCCATTCTTGCTTTGAAAGCTTGCAATTAAACTAAGAAAATCATATTCCACAATCAACAGGTTGGCTCAGGGGCCTGGGGATTCACAGAATCTTTCCGCGTTTCGACAAACCCGTCCTGTCGCCATGTGGGAGGGAGCTGCAAATTCGGGAAAGATGTCCAGAGGGCAGCTCGAGCATGTTCTGAACAGTAACACGATACCTCCTTGCCAGTCCAGTGGGTCTTGTTAGCCTTTTCTATCGTCGCTGGCTATGGAAGTAGCCCGGTCCTCTTCGGTTTGCGAAACGCCCTGACCTCCGATGGAGTCGACCTTCAGCTGCTCAATCTGCATGCCGTCGATGTGTTGCTCTTGAGCCGAATGCTTGCCAGGCAGTGGGCATGCAAGCGCCTAACGCCCGAGAACAAGGTTCCAGAGAAGGGCACCTGGCGAATTCCACAGCAGTAGGCCCCAAGGCAAAACCATTTAAACGTCACTCAAGCGAAGAGCTGGAAACGCTTGTATGCAGCACATGTTTAAACGCCGGTCAGCCGTGAACTTCGGTGCAGTTTGCCACATTTCAAGCCTAGGAAAGGCCTCCAGCTTTTCAATTGGGGCGCTGTGGGAAAGCTACCATTAAAGAACAGGCGGATGGAATGCAATTATACAGTAATCTCCAACCAGCTTGAAGGCCAAAAGCGGACCCTTACACAGCTCAATGACATCTGTCTTGAGAGAATCTTCAGAACCCTTCCTCCAACGCAAATCAATACCCCCAAGCCACGGGTGTGTGAGCCCCCGCCCGGTCGATAGAAAACAGTGGAAAGCATGCAGCACACAAGTGGAATAAGTGTGGACAGCACATCAGGCACATGCCAGTGCATGTCGAAACCTCTCGTCGCAAGTAAGTGACACGTGCGCGACAGCGTAAAAGCGTTCTGCGCAGGTGCCTGCAGGAGGGCGGGCGCACCTGCGGGTGTCCGTGGCAGTGCGTGTGCGTGCGTGTGAGCGTGAGCGTGAGCGTGCGTGCGCGCGCGCTGGGCGCGCTGGCGCTGCGTGTGTGCGCGGGTGTGTGGGTGTTTGTCTGTGTCTGCGTCTTGTCTGTTCATGTGGATGTTGATTACCCACCGGACTTACCAACGAGAGATGTCCTCTCCCATTCCCCTCGCATCCGCGTCTCTGTGCCGCCTTTATCTGTGCAACATAGACCAAGTAGGGCTGTGTCTAGCTCAGCGGCTGGAAGGCCATCAAGGTTTTTTGAATCCTGAGGTTTGTTTTAAGCGGGGTCCTAAACGCACCACCTATTTTCGGCATGACAACCCTGCAACTTTCCTACACCTCTCTCCGTCTCTGTGTCGGCAACTTGCCTCAATGGTCCACTGTTTCATTGCAAAGGCAAGCCCTTGAACATTGCCAGCATGAGACTGGCCAAGCCCAAAAGGATACAAGAGGACCAACGCGCGCTGGACAAGGGTTGCAGGGCCAGTTGGTACACGTCAAAAGGATCAGTTCTTTCTACGGGGTCTTGATGGCCAGCCACTTGAAATCCCCGCTGCGCTGCGCCGGGCCCAGAACTTGGGGCCCGGTAATTTCTGCTCGGGGGGGGGGTGGAAATGAGCAAGTTTCCAGCGACACCCCCCGTACCAATCCAGGTGCTGAGCAGCCGTAACTCCAGAGGAGACAATGCGGCATGCCCAGTTTGGACACAAATGCCAAATGCAACTAAAGTGACAGCAGAGATTCCGCTGGGTGGCCAGGGCTGCGCTGGCTGGCATCACTGGTCAAACTCAAAACACGGCCGCTGCAACAGGCTGCCGCTGCGTCCCAGCAACGAGCCCGGCTGGTACAACCAAGCTTGAACTGAGATCGACTGAAAGCCTTGCCGTGGGACCTGTGCACAGCTGCTGCATGCGACACCCGGCTCTCCTGCTGAGAGTTTGCATTATGTGCGGCGCTCATTGAAAACATGTGCTAGGCCTCTCAATCCTCAATACAGCCATGCTCTGAACCCTCGCTTAAGCCTACTGCTCAGATTGCCTGCACTCGGAGAACCAAGCGCCGCACCATGCCTACGCAGCCATGCTGACAAGCATGCAAGGGATACATGTACCACTCAAACGTGCATGGCCTGCCTGGTGAAACGGCCGAAGCATTTGTCATGATCAGTCCTACCAACCAAAAGTCGCCAAATGGCTCGACTTGATGGCCTAACTAATGAGTTGTTTTGGTGCTTGAGGGTAGGAAGACTCAACCAACCCACACAACAAACACACAGCAGCAAACTCCACCAAGGCCTGAAAGGCGGTGGTTGCGTTGATGCTTCCGAGCCCGAGTGAATACATCTGTGCAACAGCACTCCTGGGCATTCTCGCTTAGAAAAGGGCGAAGCACTCCATTTGGGAGGAAGTACTGGCTGCGAAGCTGCGGCATGCGGCGCCCAAGCCCGTGGCGAAGCGACAAAATCAAGCAGATGCAAAACAGCATAAGTTCGCTGAATCACGTTTGCCCAATGTCTTGTCTAAACTCAACTCTGGGACACACGCCATCAATACCCACCCTTTCCCACACAAGCTGCCAATGCGTATTGTTGACTGAAAGGCCCGTGGCAAGTTGCGCCACCTGCGTGAGCCCGCAGCTGTCAAACACTGAAGGGACCAAAGCCTAGGGCTGGACCAGTCGGCCTGAACATCTTCATAGGTTGCTTGTTGCCTATTCGGCTGGCCCTCCAACAGCCGCATGGGAGGGGCACAATCTGCGGTGTACGTGAAGCCCGGGATAACTTGGAGAAGGCACTATAGGCAATCAGGAATGGTAGGGCATGAGTTCCACGTAATAACGCATGAGATGCAAAAAGACGCAGCACAAAAGTGGACACGACAACAAGCACTTGGATACTCTATCCTCAATACAGCCATGCTCTGAACCCTCGCTTCAGCCTACTGCGCAGATTGCCTGCACTCGCAGAACCAAGCGCCGCACCATGCCTACGCAGCCTCTGCCAAGCACGCAATGGATGGTTGCACCACTCAAATGTGCATGGCCTGCCTGGTGAAACGGCCGAAGCATTTGCCATGATAAGTCCTACCACCAAAGTCACCATTGGTGCTTGAGGGTAGGAACACTCAACGAACCCACACAACAAACACACAGCAGCAAATTCCACCAAGGCCTGAAAGGCGGTGCTTGCGTTGATGCTTCCGAGCCCGAGTGAATACATCTGTGCAACAGCACTCCTGGGCATTCTCGCTTAGAAAAGGGCGAAGCACTCCATTTGGGAGGAAGTACTGGCTGCGAAGCTGCGGCATGCGGCGCCCAAGCCCGTGGCGAAGCGACAAAATCAAACAGATGCAAAACAGCATAAGTTCGCTGAATCACGTTTGCCCAATGTCTTGTCTAAACTCAACTCTGGGACACACGCCATCAATACCCACCCTTTCCCACACAAGCTGCCAATGCGTATTGTTGACCGAAAGGCCCGTGGCAAGTTGCGCCACCTGCGTGAGCCCGCAGCTGTCAAACACTGAAGGGACCAAAGCCTAAGGGCTGGGCCAGTCGGCCTGAACATCTTCATAGGTTGCTTGTTGCCTATTCGGCTGGCCCTCCAACAGCCGCATGGGAGGGGCACAATCTGCGGTGTACGTGACGCCCGGGATAACTTGGAGAAGGCACTATAGGCAATCAGGAATGGTAAGGCATGAGTTCCACGTAATAACGGATGAGATGCAAAAAGACGCAGCACAAAAGTGGACAAGACAACAAGCACTTGGATACTCTATCCTCCATACAGACATGCTCTGAACCCTCGCTTCAGCCTACTGCGCAGATTGCCTGCACTCGCAGAACCAAGCGCCGCACCATGCCTACGCAGCCTCTGCCAAGCACGCAATGGATGTTTGCACCACTCAAATGTGCATGGCCTGCCTGGTGAAACGGCCGAAGCATTTGCCATGATAAGTCCTACCACCAAAGTCACCATTGGTGCTTGAGGGTAGGAACACTCAACGAACCCACACAACAAACACACAGCAGCAAATTCCACCAAGGCCTGAAAGGCGGTGGTTGCGTTGATGCTTCCGAGCCCGAGTGAATACATCTGTGCAACAGCACTCCTGGGCATTCTCGCTTAGAAAAGGGCGAAGCACTCCATTTGGGAGGAAGTACTGGCTGCGAAGCTGCGGCATGCGGCGCCCAAGCCCGTGGCGAAGCGACAAATTGAAACAGATGAAAAACAGCATAAGTTCGCTGAATCAGGTTTGCCCACTGCCTTGTCTAAACTCAACTCTGGGACACACGCCATCAATACCCACCCTTTCCCACACAAGCTGCCAATGCGTATTGTTGACTGAAAGGCCCGTGGCAAGTTGCGCCACCTGCGTGAGCCCGCAGCTGTCAAACACTGAAAAGACCAAAGCCTAACGGCTGGGCCAGTCGGCCTGAACATCTTCATAGGTTGCTTGTTGCCTATTTGGCTGGCCCTCCAACAGCCGCATGGGAGGGGCACAATCTGCGGTGTACGTCACGCCTGAAATAACTTGGAGAAGGCACTATAGGCAATCAGGAATGGTAGGGCATGAGTTCCACGTAATAACGCATGAGATGCAAAAAGACGCAGCACAAAAGTGGACAAGACAACAAGCACTTGGATACTCTACCCTCAATACAGCCATGCTCTGAACCCTCGCTTTAGCCTACTGCGCAGATTGCCTGCACTCGCAGAACCAAGCGCCGCACCATGCCTACGCAGCCAGTCTGCCAGGCACGCGATGGATGGTTGCACCACTCAAATGTGCATGGCCTGCCTGGTGAAACGGCCGAAGCATTTGCCATGATCAGTCCTACCAACCAAAAGTCACCAAACGGCTCGACTTGATGGCTTAACTAATGAGTTGTTTTGGTGCTTGAGTGTAGAAACACTCAACCAACCCTCGCAACAAACACACAGCAGCAAATTCCACCAAGGCCTGAAAGGCGGTGGTTGCGTTGATGCTTCCGAGCCCGAGTGAATACAACTGTGCAACAGCACTGAGCATGCATCAACCTTAGGACCTCGGACGCCCGGCCATGTGTCAAACAGTTTGAAACACTCTGAAACATTGTGCCAATTGCGAGGCATATTGCGGTGTGTGGCACCGAAGCTGGAGGGCAAGTGACAAGGGCATGAACCGAACATGCCGATAGGGGCTTAGCCACAACCCAGATCCACCAACCTGCCAAGCAAATGGAGCCCCTCAAAAATCGTACCCAATCACATTGTGAACATTAGCTGCTCCTCATATAATTTTTGGTTTGTGCTAGGCTCCAATAGCCAAGTGGGACCGTTTGGATGCAAACTTACGGCTTGCACTGGTCTCGGTGCC